CTATGGTAATTCTACGCACACTCTTTCGTATGAAGCAACCTGTTAACAATCGTGTTGGAACTCAATCAACAACAAATAGAGATGATTTTCAAACAGCTGTTATTATAGCATGTATTCCATTAAACAATACTGTTCAATAAACATATGCACAATCAACTTTTCAATATCAATAATCCAAAGATTGTTTTATTCATATAAATAAAATCTATTCTACTAAACTATTTAACAATTTGAAATAAAAGGTTCTCTTAGGATTCGACTTCGTTAAATATAGCATAATCTACTTTAACCTTTGGTATATTCTATCAAGTGGATAGTCTTTTTTAGAGACTAGATATAATTTAGAAAAGCATAATTATGAGAGCTCGAAACATAATTAATAGAGCATATAAAAGATTGAGTATCAAAAGAATAGAAAATATTTAAAAGAGAAGAGTTAAAAATAAAGTTATGAATGCATAAATCATTCATTCAACCATTATAATGATGATTAAAATGTATGTTAATATATCCTAAAGCATATAATAAATGAAAGAAATTTTTTTTTAAATATTTTATTATTGCTCATACTGTTAAATACGAAGTGACATAGTTATTAATAATATATTCTGTTAAAGATGATATATGAAAAAAAAATTTTGACCTAGATTAAAATGTCCTTATAACAAATCTTGACTTCGTCTCCCATGAAAAAAACCCTGCACACATCCATGATACTTTGTCAAATTATGTAGACTTGCAAATATTATATAAAATCATTGTTCGCTTTTTTAAGTTGTGTTTATTTATCAAAAAATTTTAGTAAAAAGAAAAACGACTATACAATACAACATACATATATGAATATTGAGAATGTGAATTAAGTCAATAATAATATGTCATAGTTATTAATTATGCTGTAATACTTGTGGAGAAACTTTGTTTATTATATGTTGAATTCTCACCATTTTTTTCATTTTTATCCAAATTTCTTTTGATGATCCAAGACATATGAATGGCATCAATACGGGAATAAAACAAGCAAAAAAATATATAAATATTTCAAATTCACCAGTTGCACCATACGGTAAACCAAATATCAAACCAAGATACATACTCATTAGAGGAATATTAAATAAAAGATATAGTAGTGAACATGATACTACTTGTATAATCATTCTTCGATATTTAAACCATTGTATTTGTTGACGAAGACGTTGTTTTTGTCTGATAACACGAATAACTAATAAAATATTGAAAATTATGATTAAAATTGATGGCAATATACCGTTTACGAATGTATCATATATATTAAGACCAAATATTCCTAAGTAACATGGACCATAGCACCAATATTCTGTATAATATGGTGTACTGTCACAAGATACAAAGAAAACACAGACAATATAAAAAATACAAGCATATGAAATAATGCTTATTAATGGAATATAATGAATACAAATACGTTTTTTCTGAGTATTAAGCCATTGATGATGAAATATAATAATATGTCTTTCAATTGAAGTCCATGCCATTAACATACCCAATAGATTATAAGCAGTTGCACCTACAAACCACCAAATATAACAATTTATTGCTGTTTGTGGCCAGACATAGCCAAGACGAAGATAAGTAAGATAATTAGAAATATCTGTAGCTTGTGAGAAGAGTCCAACAATAAGAATAACAATAATAACATGATTATTGAGTAATTGACGTAATGTCCGATCGAAACAAAGATTATAGAGTAAAAAAATAGAACAGAAAATAGATGGAATCTCCAAAAAAACAAGAATCCAAAAACGAGCTGTTGCTGATACGGATGTTTGTAAATTTGAATCCGATGTTGTGCAATTGTCTTCAATATCATTAATAGAACTATCATTATAAACAATATCAGCCATGAGCTACGGATGTATCAATGAATAAAATTAAGAATAACGGACGTTATGTCAATCGTGTTTTAATCTTCTCACAGGATTTTATATTCTCGAATGTAGAATATACGACTAAATGTCACGGTAAATTTATTGTATAAAAGAAAAAACAAGAAACTATCATTAGTTGTCTATAAAAGAATAAAAACTTTTTCCATCATTTCATTATCTAGTCATAAGTTAAATAATTAAAATAAATTGCATTGTCAAAGTATACAATAACGATAGACATTTTTTTGTATAATATGTCGCTTATAAAAATTTAAAAAAAGGAAAAGCTTGAAATTTATATATATAATGTTGGGCCAATGCGTTTTTTTATACGAGGTCAAAAGAGTATCGAATATAATATAAACTGTCGCAACCTTTTAAACGAAGAGGTGAGGCATAATAAGTCTGAATCATTAGTGTGTTTAGCAGGATGTGGGTGTGAGATGGAAAGAACACCCACATCTATCCTCAAGATCATTGAAGGAAAATGTTTTCAATCTGTTTTATTGTCAATTAACATAAGTTTTTATTTTTTATCTTTATTTAGTATATAACTCATAAATACTCCCTTTTTTTAACAAATAAATAAGTACAACAGAATTTCGTATTTAAATAAATATTCTTTACATCAGAATTTGCTTTTGCGACAGATTCAAACTAACGCTAACTTTTGCCCAGAAGAAACGATAAAATATAAAAGTAAAAAATAATAATAACAAGTTTAGCAGCAAAAGTCGTATATCACAATTTTACTTTTCTTAAATTCTTTTATAACGATAAAAAGACAACAAAATCCATGTGGTTTCAAAAAAAACAAGAATCCATTTTATCTACTTAAAATTCAAAAATAATTAATCAAGATGCAGAACACTAAGTTGGTAATCGATGTGATACTGTTGAAACTGTGACCACCATCAACACTGCCAATATTCCTTATATCTATGCTTCCATTTTATCACGAATGAACTCTTTTTGAAAACATCATTTTACTAAAAAATCAAATTCTTCAGGATATGAAAAAAACTATATCTAAACGATTCTCAATTCTGTTTGATTAAAGATATTTGAATATGATCATTAGGTTTAATGTTCATATTTACATATTTGTGTTGAAATTAATACAAATGATTTTTGTATTATTTTTAATTTTAATAAACGATTCTATTTATCATACGATTTATTAATCGCCTATATAACAATATTTCAGTTACAAAAGAAGAAGTTTTTTCTAAATGAAGATGACATTAGTTTTGACGATAATAGAATATTTTTATTTAAATTGTGATATAAATACCTTTGTTGAATGAACAGAGAATTCATTTAATGAAGTTTTAAAACCAAGTTAGAGTATGAAATGAATATAATATTCACACTCTCAAGATGTTTGACAACATTTTTTTATCTTGGGTGTCTAGTTAAAATAAAAAACGGAAAGCTCTCTGTATATTTCTTCCTCTTAAATAGCTACATAGAAAAACAACATCAATAAATCTATTCAGATTGTAAAAACCAACAATTTTAGAGTTCATTCAAGATAATACATTACTAGACTTTCTGAATATTCAATATAATCAACTTAAGTTTATGATTAAACACTTATTTGTATATTAAGATAACTATTAACATTATTTCCCAAAGTAACAAATCTTTTAGCGTTTTTTTCTATCCATGTAAACAGTTATAATAATTCGAACAATTACAAATACTTCTGTTTATTGTAAAAAAAACTACTACACAATAACGGATATATTGATTGACCTAATACTTTGTACTTTTTCTATCGTTACAATTGTTTTCAGATATGTTATCGTATAGTTACCAAAAGAATAACGAAAACAAATACAAATAAAATAACGGTAAAAGACAAATGAGAAAATAAAATTTGATAAATAATGAAATGGCAAAGTAAATACATTGATGACGCTACAAATTGTATGAACGATCTATTGATTCTATTGTCATATTGTCCGAAACTATTTTCTCTCGGTCTTTCGTTTATTCAACCTCCGATCACAACGGAAACAACATCAAATATTAGTGTTTTAGAATTTTTTATAGTTATAACTAGGTCAATGATGAAAAAGCGGCTGGTCCACCATTGTAAATAAATCATATCATGGACAAAGAAATACGGTGTCGTATATCGTACAGTACATCAGTATACGGACCGTATTGTTCAACCTGTGTATCTAATTTTTTTCATATATTAATGAATGTTCATCTGATAGCATTTCAAATATATCTACTTAACAAACTGTATCATCAATTAGAATAATTAATAAATATAGATATTTTAAAAGTAGAGTAAAACGAGAACAAGAATAAATTATAATATTTGTGAGTAAACAAACGAGAATCGAGGGGAGTTGTTATCGTATAAAATATTGGATTTCTATGATACTTCATGAAATTCAAATTTCAACGAATATATTTATTCAATTTTCTAATTAAATGAAAGAACTGACAATGAACATTAATTGTATTGCGTAAAACTAGTATATATATATATTAGTTAAATTTTTAAATCGATGAGTTGACAAATTTGTTCAAAGAATATTTAATGAATTTGTTTTGCTCTTTTTTTCATAATTAATTTATGTTGAAAAAACTAATATTTGAGTTTAGTAAATATAAGTAAAGAGAGAAATATATAGAAGATAAAATTGTTATTCTTATTTGCATTTTCTTCTAATAAATATGTTCATCATGTTATCTATTGCTTATATGAGTATTTGGTCCATTACAATCATCATTGGACAAGTATCGGGTAAATAAATACATAGTTTTTCTTAAATTTTATTGAAATTATTTCTCAATATTAGTTGATCTAAGATAATACAATGAAACCTATTGTTCTTTTTTTTTATATTTAAAATCATTCTCTAGAAGTTTCAATTAATTAATACTTGTAGATCACTGGAGCCTTATGCTTCATCCCTTTGTTTATGGGGTGACTATTGTTACGAACCTATGCACATAACAGCTAAATGCGAAATTCACTGATTGAACTATCCACATCTTTCTCTTTAACTAAAACCAATGATTATCATATGTATCACTAAAGCAATGAAAATTAAAAGATAGTTTCGAGTTATGAAAAGTCAAAATAAAGATTATGATTATTACCGTAGTTAGTTAGTTTTGTATCAGATTACGAAAAAATAATCTTATTCATATCTTGATTATTTAGCTCTTTCGTATAATCGGCCGAAATTTTGTTCAAATGCATCATGGTATCCAAATGCGATAACTTTTGCAAATATCAGTACAGTTGGCGCAAACCCAACGGCCATTTCTATCAATACTAATAACACAATCTATGTTGCCAATCGAGCAAATAATAAAATTCAGATATGGTTCAATAATAGTATCGATCCAACACAAACAATTTACGGTGGTTTGTCACAACCATATTCTGTTTTCGTTACGACTAATAGTGATATTTATGTTGACAACGGAGCACTCAACCATCGAGTAGATAAATGGACATCTCATGGAAACACTAGTGTTCCTGTAATGTATGTTAGTACATCGTGCTATGGTCTCTTTGTTGATACCAATGATACCCTTTATTGTTCAATGTTTAATCTTAGTCAGATTGTCAAAAGGCGGGTTAGTGATAATTCTAGCACATTAATAACAGTTGCTGGTACAGGAACCGCTGGAAGTACCTCGTCTATGCTCAATGGTCCTTGTGGAATTTATGTTAATACCAATTTTGATTTATATGTGGCAGATTCTTACAATAATAGAATACAATTATTTCAGTCTGGACAATTAAATGGAAACACAGTAGCAGGAACAGGATCTATAATTCCTACAATTTCACTTAGTTTTCCAACTGGAATTGTTCTTGATGCTGATAATTATCTTTTTATTGCGGATTACTTCAATAATCGTATTGTTGGATCAGACCTAAATGGTTTTCGTTGCTTAGTTGGTTGCTCTGGTTTATATGGTTCAGCATCCAATCAGTTATTATGGCCTGCTACTCTTAGTTTTGATAGTTATGGCAACATGTTCGTCACAGATTATGGAAATAGTAGAATTCAAAAATTTATATTATCAACAAATTCCTGTAGTAAGTATATGAGTATTTTATTTACTTTTCGAGCACTTTTTCTGCTGCTCGACTGAGCTCGCAACGCTATTCGCGATTCTTCGAGTATGTTGGGATTTATTCTTTTTCGAGCAATCTTTGTTCAAGTGGTTGATCTTGTAACAATATACGAAATCTATATTAAGTTCTATGTTTATATTAATAAGTATGACTCTCATTAAGCAAATAATTAAGGTGTGAAAAACTATTGTTTTGTAAAACCCTATAAATTATCATAGCTCAAAAAGAAAGAAGCTTTCCGCTCCAATATTATATCATACAATGAAAAAAGGACACTTGATTTCCAGAATAAAAACAAAAGAATAGCCTCAGGCCGAATGGTCTTTCTAATTCTTCAAATTGTTCCAAATCTGAAGATTTACAAGATGTCAAACTCTATCAAAACTACGAGTTTTTACATTTAGTTGAGCCAGATGCCCTATTAAAAATCAATATAACAATAGTGAATGACAAAATGTTCTCATAAATATCGTATTTATTTCTTCTGTTTTAAAAAAGATATATCATCGTTCAATAAATACTATAGTAATCCAAACGACAAGCACATGAGAAAATATTTACACCGAATAATTAAAATAAGTTTATATTGTATAGCATGAATTATTGAACAGATAAAATATATACTCATAAAAGAGGGTTATCGATGAAAACACTATTTTTATTAATGTTATATTGAAGATGAAATAACATCAACAGTTAAACCAGCTACAACAGTTAAACCAACTACAACAGTCATACCAACTACAACAGTTAGACCAACTACAATAGTTAATCCAGCTACAACGGTTATACCAACTACAACAGTTAATCCAACTACAACAGAAAATCCAAAAGGTTTGTTAGAAAACATGATTTTCAATATTACAAGATAAGTATTTCTAGAACAAGTAACTACTACACAACAAATAACTTCTACAGAATACATAACAACTTCAAAAAGATTGATTACTAATCAAAGTAAGAGTTTTAAAGTAAATAAATTCAATTCAAATATTAATGATTTAAGCTTGTTTCTCACCGAGAATAACACTTATACCTTCTACATCAACGTTATCATCACCAATTCAATTTCGACGAAGTCAAGATTTTTATATTGTTTCATTAATTGAATTAAATTGTAATAATTCAATATCGATCATTACCCAATGGACAATAAAAAATTGTACTTCTATTTGTTCAAATCAAATTCAATTAGATTCAACAATAATAACAACATCAACTGAATTATATATTCCTGCACGAACTCTTGTCTATGGTTTATATGAATTAAAATTAATTGTAACAATGGTTAATATGTCAAGTTTAACTTCGACATCATCTGTTTATGTTCAAATAACTTCATCAGGTATAACAGCAAATTTAATACAATATGGAACATCAATGATTACCCGTGGTAGTCAACAAGATCTTCAATTTGATCCAGGAACTTATTCTATTGATCGTGATAACAATATTTTGAATGCTACTGTAATTTTTCATTAAAACATCAGCATTTTGTTTTAATTATTTTATTTTTATTGAATAGGATTGGATATATGAATATTATTGTCGAATCTATGGTTTATATATGTTTCCAAATTTACAAGGTTCATTATTATCAATTGATGATTTAAGAAATGATTCATTGAATCCATCATGTTTATCAAATCGAACAGGATGGAAATTTAGTAATTCAATTAAATCATCATTAACAATTCTTTCTAATTCTCTTCAATCAAATCGAACATATCAATTTATGGTTTATATGGAAAATCGTCGAAATTCTTCACTTCAAGCAACTGGTTACGTACTTGTTAATGTTGAAGATACTCATCCACAAATGATTCTCATTAGGTAAATTTTCTCTTCTTTTGTATTTCAATAAATAATAATAATAATATATAATTTAGTTGTGTTATTTGGACATTATGTATACCAAATTTAGAATTTCAACTTCTTAATCCAACAACACAAGTTGCTCTATTTTCTATATGTAATGGAAATTGTACAATAATTCAAAATATAACATGGAACATTTATTATGGTACAATGAATTCATCTTCAAATTATACAAAATGGATATCGTTTAATCAAACAAGTTCTTATGAAAATATTTGGTTTTTTGGTATGAATACAAGTAATTTTACAACAACAAATCAATTATTTTTATCGAATCCACAAATAAATCTTTGGCGATTTGAAGTTATATATACATTTCGATCGGAAATAAGTTCAAGTTCATTAAATTTTATTATTAATCGACCACCAGTAAATGGTTCATGTTCAATTACGCCTCTTAATGGTACAACAAGTAGTTTATTTGATATTTCATGTCCAAATTGGTTTGATGAAGATGATATCAAAGATTATTCTCTTTATAGTACATCACTATTCTTCTTCTTTATTAACAAATTATTTGAATTATTTTTATAGGTTGGACAAATAATTTCTCAGAACAAACTATTATTGCTTATTCTTTAATATCAACATTTCAAGTTCGCTTACCATTAGGAGATGATCAAACATCATTCGTTCATTTAACTGTTTATATTCGTGATACATTAGATTGTATTACAAAATTTAATTTATCATCTGTTACTGTCATATCAGATTCAATAGGAATTACGAATTTAATAAATGATATTCAAAATTCATCAAATCAACTAACAACAAATCCAATAATTCAATTACTTGCTAGTGGAAATCAAAATATTGTTGGACAAGTTATTACATCACTTTCACAACAATTCAATAATATAAATAATGAAAATATTGATCAAGCTATTTCAAGTAATTTATTAATATCATATCATTAAATTAGTTATTAATCTTTTTTTATAGATGGTGTTCTATCCACGAGTATTTCTATTTCATCATTAGAAGATCAAAATATACAAGGAGTAATTTGTTTGTTTTTTTTAATTTTTAATATTAATTTTATGAATTTAGTCTTCGATATTATTAAATAAATCAGCATTAATTGAATTCAATAATCAATTGAATATGTATGCTAATACTCGAGAATATCTTATGCAGTTTATAACAAAACTTGTAATAACAAATTCATATAGTATTCAATTACAATCATCATTATTAGCACAATTAACGAAAGCAACAAATCAATTAACACGAACAACTTTAGTTAAATTTTAATTTTTAAATTTATTTAATTTATTTCTTCTTTTTTTTTTTTAAAGAAAAGTGTATCAGATAAATGTTATCAATTGGCAATTATGTTAAATTCAATAAAAACAAATATTCCATATGAAGATGTTCAATCAGCAGCAACTCAACTCATTCAATGTGCTGCGAATCTACTCAGTGTAAGTAGATTTTTCATGTATTCACAAATACAACTGACTCTTTCATTTTTTGAATTATTTAGGCTGTAAATGGACCATTACAACAACGAATATCTATATTAGATTCAGATTCAACACAAGCTACAACATTTCCTTCTGATTATGATACTGATCTTGAATTTGCATGGTCAAATCTAAGTAATAGTATAATGAATACAATATAATAATTCTATTTTCTAATCTTATAGATTTGTTTGCTGATGGAAATGATTTTTCATGGGGAACAATACAAAAAAATCGAAACATTTATTATCAAAAACAATTGGCAAATCAAATCACTAATCAAATGAATGATCTCAAATCATTATTAACTTCATCATTAAATATTTATTTAAATATTGGACAAAATATATTAATAAATACATCACAAGTATTCATGTCTTTAGAAACAAAAGCGAATGAATTTCTTTCAAATAGATTTATTCAATCAATTTCAAATGCACAAATTCAATTTCCTCAAAATTTAAATTTAAATTTAACGAATAATTCTAAAATTTCAATTCGAGTAAATTTATTATCGATTTTTTGAAAATAATTTTCATGATTCTGTTTTCTCTAGTCAATGATGGAACCATTAGCTTCATATGATAATACAACATATACAAATCTGTCAAGATTAGTAACATTTTCAATTCTGGATGAAAATGAAAATGAAATTTCTATTCAAACAAATATGAGTCATCCAATCGAAATAATTATTCCTCGAGATCCAAATATAATAATACCACCAATGATTTTACAAAATGTTACATCAATGAATAATACTCCTCATAATCAATTATTTGATTTACATTATTTGAATATTACAAGTTCTCTTTCAATTTCAATTCATTTCGAAATTCAACCTTTAAATATAAGTCTTGCTTATTTATTTATTTATAAATTTGATCAATTACCTCAATTAAATACTTCAATTAACAATATTGATGGATGGACTCTATTTTGTCCTTTGAATTTAACAAATGAAACTTTGTATAAATATTTTATTAATAATCAACAAACATCCGATCATCAATCAATTATATATGGTTTACGAGAATTAAATTCAACAGAAATGATGAATACATGTTCGAATACTTCTATTGGTAGTCTCCCAATAACAGATCAACGATTTAATTTTACATCGAATTATCAACTAAGAATTTATACATCAGGTTGTTATTATCTTGATAAAAATAATCAATGGAAATCAGATGGATTAACAGTTGGTCCTTTGACAAATCATTATGAAACTCAATGTTTTTCAACTCATTTAACAAGTTTTGCTAGTGGTTTTGTTATTTTACCTGAATCAATTAATTGGAATTATGTATTTGCCAATGCTGATTTTATGAAAAATAAAACAATTTATTTAACTGTCATTTGTGTATCTGTAATTTATATAATTTTAATTATATATGCACGTTTTAAAGATAAAAAAGATTTGGAAAAATTAGGAGTTACACCATTACCTGATAATCATCAATCAGATCAATATTTTTATCAAATTATTGTTTTTACTGGTCAACGACAAAATGCTGGAACAAATTCAAACGTAAGATACAAGAAAAACAAAGAATACATTTTCGAAATATATTTCATATATAGGTTCATTTTATTATATATGGTGATAATGATGAAACACATATTCGTACATTAGCTGATTCTCAACGAAAAATTTTGCAACGTGGTGGAATTGATTCATTTATAATGGCAGTTCCAGAGTAATCTATTATTTAATAAATAATTAAAATATTAAATTTTCTATTTAGATTATTAGGATTATTAAATTGTATTCGCATATGGCATGATAATACAGGTAAAGGTGCATCATCATCATGGTTTCTTAAATATATAATTATTCGTGATTTACAAACAATGGAAAAATTTTATTTTATTTCTCAACGTTGGTTTGCAGTTGAAAAAGATGATGCAAAAGTGAGTTGAATTATTTACGTGAAATCCTTTTAGTTTTTTTCAAATAGATTGAACGTATTTTGCCTGTTGCTGGTGATATTGAAAAACAACAATTTTCATATATATTATCAAAAAAAGCTTATCATAGTGTTTCCGATGGTCATTTATGGTTTTCAATATTTTCTCGTCCACCATCAAATCAATTTACACGTGTTCAACGATGTACATGTTGTTTTGTTTTACTCTTTATTTCAATGTTTTTAAATATAATGTATTACGATTTATCAACAGAAGCTAAAACAAATAATTCAACAAATACTGCTAGTTTATCTTTTGGTTCTTTTTATCTTAATTCTCAACAAGTAATTATTGGTATAGTTGTTGAATTATTTGCATTAATTCCAAGTCTTTTACTTGTACAATTATTTCGACGTCTTCAATTTCTTAAAAAACAAATTTCACCATTACATCAAACTTTGTATAAAATCAAACCAGATTTAAATATCAATGAGGACAAAATTAAAAAGAAATTTTCATTATCATTTCCTTGGTGGTGTATATTTATTGCATATGGACTTTGTATAATATTAGTTGGTCTTTCAATTATGTTTATAATTGCTCGTGGAATTGAATTTGGTGATGATAAAACACAAAAATGGTTAATATCAATTCTAAGTGGATTTTTTTCTTCGATTCTTTTAACACAACCATTAAAAATAATAGGTTTAACAATATTCTTTGCTTTTTGTTGTCAAAATTCATATGATGATAAAGAAGCAAATGAATATTTGGATAATAATCAACTTGCTTTAGATAATGATGAAGAATATCTTCATTCGTTTAAGGTTAGTCTATTATTATTATTTGCATTAAATAATAAATAAAGATATGATTGTAGAAGAAATCAATATTTACTTATCGACAACCAATTCGTGTCGATCGTTTAAATGAAACTGAAATAAACCATGCTCGTAATGAACGTTTAAAAGAAATTCATATGTGGTCAATGATAAAAGAAATATTACTTTATTTATGTTTTATAACAGTTCTTTATATTATAATTTATTCAAAGCGTGATTTAAATTCATTTCTTCAAGTTAATCATTCACGAAAATTTTTCTTTAATTCAAGACAAATCAATTGTGATTATACAAAAGTTTGTTTTTTGTCTTATTCGATAATTTTCATTTATTTGACTAAAATATTTAGATTACAACAATAGATGATTATTGGAATTGGTTAGAAAATAATTTTATTGAAAATATTCGTGCTCAACAATGGTATAACAATGATCCGCCTAGGAACTTAAGTGGTTTTATTAATGATAAATCTAATCGATTAATTGGCTGGGCAACGATGAGACAATTGCGTGTTAAATCAACATTATGTCAGGTTCAAAATGAAATTACTTCAACATGTCAATATGATTATAATTTCTATAATGAAGATAAATATTCCTATAAACCAGGATGGAAAAATAGTATAATACAAAATTATAGTTCAGCAATTTCTCAATCATTTCAATATTCAACAAGTGAAGATTTAGATACATATAGTTATATTGGAGAATATGGAACTTATAGTGGAAATGGTTATGTATATGAATTTCGTGGTCGTTTAGTTGATCTTCAAAGTAATTTATCATTACTTCATCAATTAGAATGGATTAATAATCAAACAAGAGCTATTATTATTCAATTAACTTTATATAATCCAAATGTTCAATTATTTACTTCAGTCACATTTCTTGCAGAATTTTTATCATCAACTGGAATATTTACAAGTGCTCGTTTTGAACCAATGAATTTCTATAGTATGTTTTCTTTTGTTTTAATAAGATTGAAAAATATTTTTTTCTATTTAGCATTTACATCGATAACTCAATTCGTTTCTATAATTATTTATATGATAATTATTATCTATTTCATGTGGCTAGAAATTCGATCAGTATTTAAATTAAAATGGAAATATTTTCATCAATTTTGGTCTTATATTGAAATTGGTATAATAATATGTTCTTGGACAAGTGTCGGTATTTATATTTGGCGATATAATGAATCTAGACATATTGGAAAATTATTTAATGAAACAAATGGATATGTGTATATAAATTTACAATTAGCATCATATGTTAATGATATTTTAATTTATTTATATGGTTTTTGTTGTTTCTTTGGTACAATTAAATTGATTAAATTATTTCGTTTTAATCAACGTCTCTGTTTATTTATTGAAACATTAAAATATTGTGGCAAAGAATTATTAGCATTTTTCATGATGTTTTCAATTATATTTTTTTCATTTGTTTGTCTGTTTTATTTATTATTTATTTCAAAACTTGAATCATGTTCAACTTTATTAAAAACAATACAAATGTTATTTCAAACGATTTTAATGAAATTTGATGCACATGAATTAGTTGAAGCTGGAGGATTTCTTGGACCATTTTCTTTTAGTTTATTTATTGTTTTCATTGTTTTTATATGTATAAGTATGTTTATTTCAATAATTAATGATAGTTTTCGTCATGTTAGAAAAAATATTCCCAATGATAATGAAGATATATTTTTATTTATGGGAAAAAAAATTCTATATTGGATAGGTATTTCAATTTTATTAAAGTAAATATAATTTCCTTGATAATATTTTAGGATGGGAAAAATCTATGAAAGAAGAACAAACAGATTTGGAATATGTGGATCCAATTGAACATTTTCCAGAAAAAATTGATCAATTATTAAATGCATTTAATCGAGTATGTTTAATGTTTAGTTTATTTTACAAATATTTATTCCTATTCATTTATAGTTATATACAAATCAAAACAATTAACAAATATATTGTAGTTTATGTGCTTTCTTTGTTTTGTATTTATTTGTCAAATTATTAAAAGAGAATGTGATTGAAATTAGTTTATTCTATTATCTTTTAATCGTAGTTGTTGATAAACAGTCCAAGAAATTTTATTTGCATTGAAAATATATAAATTCTTGAGTGTCTAGATATTTAAAAGAGAATGAATATGAGAATGATTAAAAAAACAAAAAAGAGCTACCGTATTATTTCGTAGAGCATGGACCAAATATATCGCACCATCGGCTCAAATACTGTTACTGCAAAGGTTTAATTTTGTGAGTTTCTAAGCGTAAAAAAAGAGATAATAATATAGTGATAATCACTGTATTTTTTTCTAAGGCGTCAGTAAGATGTTTTGCAACTGTGTCGTCGATCGAATTGGATTCGAGATTTAGTGTAGTGAGTGTCTATGTATATAATAGAAAGTGAAGACGAAAGAGATCAACATAGAATGATGCTCACGATGTAATTTTCTAGAGAACAACTGAGATACTGTGCTTCTTTCGACACTAGTTCGATTTCTATAAAGATTCAATGTATTTAGAGTAGAGATGTGTGGAAACGGGATCAACGCTGAAAATCGTGATTATATAATTACTTTAACTTTGTCAGTTTTCAAATGATATTTTTGTATATCATACATCATTTTATTATTATCATACTAATATCTTGTAATACACAAAGAAAAACTCAAAAAGTAGAAATATACTCGACCTCCAGAAAATCTGTTAGGATCAGTAGTCAAGTATATAGTAAAATCTTATATGATTTTAATGCAATTGGCTAGTAAATCATATAAAAGGGAGCTTCGTTCAAAAAAAAATGAGGGTGTGTGTGAATATTACATGTATCTGACACTGACGTTCACAATTCAACAAGTTATAATTGATCACTAACAATTATATACATGAAGATAATTCAAAGAAATAAAAGTTCAGCAAATAGTTTATTAATAATACTGTACCATGACAACCTATCTATAAATTTTCTTGATTTATCTGACGAATCTTTTTTGCTATTATTTTTTTTGTTTAATTTCAATTTTATGTCGTCTAGTGCTCGTTCATTCTTTCGTAGTAATCATATTCGTAATAAAAAAAAAGTGGATATAAAACAGCAACAACAACAAAATGTACACGAAACGATATCACAACAAACAATGAATGAATGGATAACAAATATAAATTCTCAGCAAATATCGATGAACATAAGTTGTTGTGGTGGTGATGAAAAGAAAAATGCTATTAAAAAACAAATACAAGCTCCCCGTCTAACACAAGAAACAGTTGAAAATATTAAAACACTTAGCGATCCAATGGAACCTAGTGATCATAAAATTCATATTATACAACAACAACAAGCGGTTAAAACTGAAATTGATGATGATTTAAAAGATCTATTTGGTAAAAAAGAAATAACAGAAGCAATTATAAATCAATTAGCTCAACGTGCATTAACTGGACCAATGAATTCTAATAATGACAATTCACCACGTCTTTGTACAAAGAAACATGTGAGACATTGATTCTAAAAGTAATAAAATCTAATATATTTTTTTTGTCATTATTTTAAGTGTTCCTTTGCTAATGAACCATTAACAATTAAACCTGTAACATGTATACCTGGTATCGGTCCCAAACATGGATATTTATGTGAAAAACAAGGGTATAATAATCTATGATATAAGAATATACTATATTATTCATTTAAGGATTATTATGGCACATCAATTACTATCAAGATATATGATGAGTACGAATGATAAAGAATTTGAGAAATCTCTTATTAATCAACTTGGTTTTACATCAAAATCAGCTTCAATGACACGTGATGGACTTAAAGAAATGAGACGACATTTAATTTAATTACTAAATAAAAAATTCTGTTACAAAATGATAAAGCAATTTTTATTGTCCCAGAATGTATAGAAAATCACGATTTAAAAAATATCATATTTTAATATCTTCAGTTTTTGGACGAGATTGTGATTCAGTATGTTCTTTTGATGAATGTGTATCAGAATTGGATTGAGTTTCATGTTCACTCTCAGAGGAATCATCGGATGTTTCTGATGATCGATCATTTTTTGGGAATGAACGTGGTAAAGGACATGGAGCAGATGAATTTTGTGTTGATTCTGCATTGGATTTATCTTTTTTAGGAAGGATTAAGTATTTATAAAGAGTTGTTTGAAGTACAGGTTTTACTTTTTGTACTTCATGAGGACGAAATCGTCTTTCACAACATAATTCATATAAGTGATGTATAATTCGAGTGGCAACAAAATCACTAAAAATAAAAAGAATAATATTTTAAGTATTTATTAATAGAATTAATACCTTGCATTTGTACTAATAATTCGTAGAATAAAATGTCCATCAGCTTCCAAATATTCTTTATTAAAAAAATGGAATAATGTTAGATGATTCTTATAATAATTACGAGGTACAATAAACATTCTTGATTGATGATGAAGTCTTCGTCCATCACTCAAATCATAAACTTGATCACCAGTTGATGGAGATTCTTCACGACTTTTAACTGTAATAAAAATTATCTTATCATGAAGAAGAATAATCAAATTTTGAACAATCTTTTTATTTTAAAATAACTCCACCAAGAATTTCTATATTATATTGAGGAAATTAAAAAATTTCTTCTGCTCCTTAAAAATATGTTTCCGGTTCAAAGAATTTCCTTTGATTATATAATATGAAATATATGAGTTGATCGTACTACTACTACATACATATACATTTTTCTAATGAGTAACAAAAGGAATTCAACACACCGTGTATTCCATCATGACTACTCAAAACGTCCTCTTCACCTTTCTACCGGATTCAACATGTATGCTAGAATAATACAAGAGCAAATATGCAGATCATGATATTTATCTAAATTCTCATAAATTTTTCATCTTAGATTGATTATACCTCTCATTAAATGTTCATTTTCTTCTTCATTAATATGATCTGAACATAAATCTTTAAACGGCCACTTTTGTGTTGTTTCACGATTCATTACTTTTAAACGTCCTATTAAGTAAACTTCACGCCGACAAAGCAATCGATATAACCATATAAAAAGATCGTAAGCTGTCAATAAAATAACAATTATAAACCAAAACCATAGAAATGTAAATATTTGCTAAATAATTAAAAGTTTATCGGTGCATATAAAACAAATTTTGAAATTTACTCAAACCTGATTAAAAAGATTAATTGGTAAAACGCACATAACAGTATAGGTATGTGCAATTGATAATGAATTTGGTTCACGTATTTGAAAATCACTAAATAAAAGAACAACTCTATTTTATTAAATATTTTGTTATAATTTCCTTACCATAATGTTACTTTTGGAAAATATCTACTTTGATAATTCCAACCTTTTCCTTCATATAAAAATCGAAAAAGTGTAAAACCTAATGACCAAAATGGTTGTCCCAATAGAAATGATAAGAGTAAAACTTGTCCAAAAACATTAATAACATAAAGAATTTTAATAAATATAAATAAATTTCTTAAATAATCTCCCATATAACGGCCTGATGATGGAAAAAACATTAAAAAACATTTACTCCACCATGTTGTTACACGATTATTTGATTGACGACGTGGATCATCAACATATTGATCAATAATTGATACCATAAATTTCATTAGTTGTTCACGTTGTTTTTCATCTGTACTTTTTTTATAATTAGTTGCAGCTTCAACAATATCTCGAATATCAATTCCTTATTTTAAAATAAATAAAATTTATAAATAAATTGTCAAATATTCTACCTGATCGTTGACATAATACACGCCATAAAACATAGGGTGAAAAGAAAAATAAAGCTTGAAATAATAGTATAAATGGTATCCATTGATAATAACGTATAGACGTTTCATGACGTATCTCAGTACTTTCAGGTATTTCTTTATTGTCATCAAGATAATACGTATTACGTACCCAACATACGTTATTAGTATAATCTTCATAATTTCCTGTAAAAAATGCTGGAACCTAAATAAAATACACATATCTATATATGAATTTAAGTGAAAATTGATTGTAAATATACCCAACATTGTATACGTTTCTTATTGAATTCTCGATTCGATACAATTAAAGTAAATGCAATGAGTATAGCACATGTATATCGATAACTAAGACGATCACCTGTTGAATCATCACTTCGAGATGTACCAAGGAAGACGACTGTAAATTCATTGGCTGCTTTTAATATTAATCCAGACATAATGACACTTTATTAATATTATAGTATATCTAAAGAAAAATAAAATAAGTAACTATGCCTTATACTCTCTCTCTCATTTTTTTATTCTTATAAGTATCTGTTTAGCATAAATCCACATTTGCATTTTCCTATACTTAACAATGACTCTTAATATATTATAGAAAGTCTATAATATATATTTATGAGGTATACCACTTGATAATATTATGTAGAGAGTATTTAAAGTTGTTGTATTTGTTAATAAATTCATTGAAAAATAAAAAGTATTGCTTTCTATGGAATAAAAGCAGACAAATTAGTCTTTAAAAATCGTCACCTTATATCTATTATACTTTTGCGGTTTTTTTTCCGTCAATGACAAACATTTTCTCCAGCTTTTCTTTTCTTCCTTTCTATGACAATGAACATGCGTAAGTATAATAATCAAAGGGCAACATTTTTTTTTGAAGAAAACTTAGTGATGGTTGCGATGTATTGGCACCTCACTCACTCACTCGGCAAAAGAAAGACATACATCAGTAAAATGAGAGAGACAGGAAAAAAAAAGCTGTCTTCATTCTTCATTTTCTTTGCATTGATATATGCTATTAATAGAAGAAAAAAAATCGTCAACGATGTGGGGAATAAATTATAGCCATTTAATATGTCACATGAGAACTAATATAACTTCTCGTAGGTTAATAATTTTATGCATATGTTTCACTGATATTTCTAAAGGGAAAATGTTCTCATAAAGACAATAATACTAAAACTTCAATGTAGTCACAAGAAAAACGAATAAAGTCATAAAATATAGATTATGACATATATTGACAAGTTTTCTTTTAATTGTCGAAAGTTTCCATAATTAAATCTTTTTAGCTAACTCTTTAGAGATTATTCTAATTCCTTTCTCTTATATTTATAAACGACACATTCGAATACTTAAATGATAGAATGCGACCTCTAGTATTTTACTACGATACAATCTCATGAGTTATCCAATGAAAAATATATTTTTTCTTATTTTTATTCACATACACACACATATTCAATTTTCGTTATTTTGTAGTTGTAGGTGTTGTCATAATAAAATTTAACGATGCAAGATGTAGGTGTACCTCCTGATGTTATGTGTTGTTTAAAATCAGTACTTCACATTTCTATTAAAACATAATTAATAAAATATCATTGAATTATATGAAAGAATAATTGACAAAGTTACTTTTAATTAATTTATTTCAAACCTATTAATACTGATATAAAGCGTATTAGATGATATACAAGATTCAACAACTGCAGTTTGTTTATTCCAATGTTTTTATGATGTAATACGTTAATCGAAAGAATAAATAATGTAAAGATAAAGCACATATAATACTATATTATCAAATTATTCGTGAACGATAGATCAGTAAAAACATCATAGAAATTGTCCTATCTCTTTCATTATGACGCTGATCAATTTTGAATAAGTTAATTATAGTTCTACCATATTTGAAGAATACTTTCTAATATTTGTTTTGAATAAATATTTTGTTAAATTTATATTTTAGATTAATTTATTCAATGAATACTTTAGAAAGTGACAATGATCGTCATACAGAACAGTTAGCTGCTAAAGTTTCTCGACTTAAAAGTGTTAGTTTTATGTTTTGTTATTTATAAATGTTCTATTTATTTTTTTTTCATTTTAAAGATTGCAATTGATATTGATAATGAAACAAAAGATCACATTCCATTTCTTGAATCTATGGTAAGTTGATTATTAAATACAGAATAGTAATTACATTTTTTTATTTTAGAATTTTGATTTCAATACTGCACGTAGTTTTCTTGGTGGAAGTTCTCGTCATTTAAGTACTGCTATGTCAAGTGGGCGTGGTGATCGACGAGTTATGTGTTATGTAATTGCTGGAATTGTTTTCGCTTTTATTTTTCTGTACTATGTTGTAAGTTCATTTCGACGTAAGTAAATAGTCAGAGTTTAATATTCCTTTGTATATACATATATATTTTTTTCGGAATGAATTCTGTTACTATCGGAAGTAGATCTTCAATTACTCATTTAACTTTTTTTTGTGTATTATTGATGTTGAAAAATAAATCAAATTTTTTAATGGAATAGTATTTACTTTGAAAATCAGAGCTAAGTGAAATATCAATAGTCGAATGAATGAACTTGGAATAATTTGCAAGAACGACTAAGTTTTTATGAATACTGCGGAACACCAGGCAAATGAATTGATTCTAATACAAAATACAAATATAGTAGTATTCACCTTTTTCTTTTTAGATAAATGAGTTTATAATGATAGTAGTCATGTATGCGTTTTTACGCATAAAAAATGAAGTAATTATCGAATTATTTTCGTCCATCAATTTTGTATGAAAGAGAACGTATATATATATGTTTTCTTGTTTACGTTTAGAAGTTAAGCTAGAATAACACATCGTCCGAAAAGTGTAAATTGAATATTTTTCTTTTTAGATAAACTATGAAGTTAATTACACATAATATGCTTACGTCAAATATACTCAAAGGAGTAAAAAAAGGTTTTCCATTGAAAATTAATGCTGTTAAAATAGAAAATGTATCAGTAGATTATAATCCAGATTTTATAACTCGTATTCTTCAACGTATTGAATACGATGCTTTACGAGGTGCTGTTATTGATGTAAGTTTTCATAGAGAAAAAAACAAAATAAATATTTTGTTTTATTTTTAGCTTGGCCTGAATGAATCATTACCAGAAACAATATCGGAAACAATTCAACAAGATGAAACATTTCTTAAGACAATGCATAAAATCTTACTTGAATATGAAATTGAAGAAGGTGAACTTATTTGTCCAGAAACTGGACGAAAATTTCCAATATCAAAAGGCATTCCGAATATGTTGTTACAAGAAACTGAAATATCATAAATAGTTATCTCATTGTTATTTCTCTTCATCAAATAAAGAACATCTGAAAAGAAACTTAGTTAAAATATAGTATTAAAACGATACTACTGTTTATCTTGAATTAATAGAAACTATGTATTTATGCAAAAACACGAATGAAATCTGAGCTAGTCGATGATAGAATATATTCTTTTTTAGACTTTACGAAAATTTAGTTTAGTACAATTATAAACAATAAACGATTGTTATCTTTTGTTCTAGATTAAATTCTCAATGATATGGTTCGAAAACGATTATATCAAGAAGTTGATAAACCATACACACCTGAAATTAAATCAAAACAAGTTCAACTATATTCATTTGAAAAAATACCTGAATATCTACAATCAAATCCATATATTCGTACGGGCTATAGACATGGTTTAAGTATTAAAGATTGTTTAATTAGGTATTAAATTTTGTTTTCGTCTAGTAATAATTATTAAAATTCTATATCTATTTAATTTAGCTTAGTCTATCTAAATAATGAAACAATAAATATTTGGTCACATTTAATCGGTGCTGGACTTTTCGTATATTTTTTCTTTCGTGATATTTATAATGGACGTGCATTACCATTTTTTGCATCAACATCTGATTATTATTTTATTTTATTTTATACTGTTTCTGTCATTGTAAGTTCTTTTTTCTTCTAACTTCGAACACTATTATATTCTCTATTTATAGATATGCATGTTATGTTCCGTTTCATTTCATCTTTTCAATTGCATATCACCACGAGCATTTGCCGATTTTCTAAAACTAGATTTATGTGGTATTGGTTTTGGTATTCTCGGTTGTTACCTATGTGGTCTTCATCTTGCATTTGAATGTTATCGTGATTGGAGGATAAGATATGAAACAATGATAATTTCTATAATGTTTATTGCTGTGATATATTATATACATGGTGTAAAACGATATACTACACGAAATATTCATGTAACTTTATTTGTAATCATATCTCTTATGGGATTTCTACCAGGTTTTCATTGGTATGCTCTTCATGGTGGTTGGTCAAATGGATTTGTTCAACAATTTTTTCCAAGATTATTTGTACTCTATGGAATATTAGGTGTTGGAACATTTGCGTATTTAACAAAATTTCCTGAACGATTCTTTCCGGGTTATTTTGATTTTATTTTTGCCAGTCATCAAATCTGGCATTTTGCTTCATTAGGTGCATTTATTTGGTGGTATCAAAATGGTATAGACTTATTACAATATCGTCTAAGTAATCCGTGCAGTACTCCTGAAATCTGAATACATATATTTCTTTTTAATATTTAATTTTTATAATAATTCGAGTTGATTATGTTGTAAACGGTTATTAGCTTTAAAATTCATGCTCAAATGTCACCGTTGCTTTTGTACGAGCTTTCTTTTATGTAATTTTATATATTATTTTTGATGATATATATGACATCCTGATATTTTCTAAAAGATTGATAAAATAAAAATTGACAATTTAATAAATCTTTTCTTTAATTGATCAGACAATGCATTGTAATCATATTGATGATAGTATATATAAAGAGTTATATGATAATTTTCGTTCAAATTTTTTCTTCTATCTGTCAAATATATGTTATAAGTTTGGATCAAACGTAAAACAACGATAAATACGAATAAGATATGTCAAGCAAAAGAGAACTGCGCACGTAAGCGCATACAAATACAATGAGAGAAAAAAAAATGATTGTTTTTAGATCTTTTGCTTTAAATTTTAATATGTTGAATTATTATTGCCACGAGTGTTACCACGAAATGAGCTTCCGCGACTTCCACCATATGAACCACCGCGGTCACCGCCATACGAGCCACCGCGTTCGCCACCATATGAACCACCGCGTTCTCCACCATATGAACCACCACGATCACCACCTCCTCTACCTAAAACGAAATGTATATTTTTTCAAAATTTATATTCATAATATTTTTTGTTAATTATACTTACCACGAAAACCTCCACCTCTGCCACCATTCCAACGATTACCACCTGGACGAGAGTCATTATTCCAATTATTTCGACCACCACGAAAACCTAGAAAGTAATTATAAGTTCTATGATTTCTTAGCGAAACTATATTATCAATATACAAACCTCGATTATTATTAAAACCTCTATTATCGTTATTTCGAATACGACGTTGAGCAAGTTGAACACGCACAACAGAATTTATAGAACCAATATGTTGATCTAAATTATAAGAACATATTCCATTAAAAAAAATACTTATATAATTTATTTCTAATTACCATTATATTCTGAAATAGCTTTATCAGCAGTTTCTTCATCTTCATAAGTAACTGTAGCTCGACCATTTCCTTCGCCAGTCATACGATCCTTATAAATCCAAATTTTTGGACCACTTGATCGTTCATCAATCTACAACAATATCATCGTCAATCAAAATATAAACATTCAATAGTTTACTTTTATTGGTCCAACAGTTGAAAAAGCTTCTTGAATATCATCTCGAGTGATATTTTTTGGTAAGTTTTGAATAAATATTGCTTCTTTAAGTATTTCTATTTCGTCGTCATCATTATTATTTTGTCGTCGAAATCCAAAACCACCACCACCACCGCCACCACCATTACCTCTTCCTAAAATATAAGTAAACAATAAATAAATTAAACATCATAATATGAATAATTACCTCGATACGATCCACGATATGATCCTCTAGAATTACGTAATAGATCATTTTTAGAATTGAAAAAAAATATTGAATTAATAAAACCTACCCTCCTCTTGCATCATCATAATTATTATTATTGTTATTATTATCTGAACGAGCAAAACCGCCACGTGAACCTTAACAAATATTGATATAGTATATTTACAATGAGAAATTTGACAGTTTACCACGAGAGCCTGCACTCCATACATTTCCACCTTCTCTTGGAGGATTAACATCGTTAAACGCCATGATCAAATATATATAAATATATATATATGTATATATACACGATAATTCGAAGTCGAATAAATGCAAGAAAAAGAATGAGAGAGGATGGAACTATATAGTGATCTTTTTTTCTTCAAATTTATCTTTCTGAACGGAGATGTCAGATATATGCCAATGTCGGAGGTGAAAAAAGAGGTCGCTCAATGATGATCGCAATTGGGAAAATCATAGCAGTATTCGGAAAAATCCTCAAATGCATTAGAAAATAATTTTTTATCATTAAACAAATATCCAAAAAATGAGATAATCATACAATTTTTCGGCGAGAATTCATTTTCAATATAAATTGTATTTTTGTGTGGGAACAGTAATTTTTCTCTTTGACACACATTATTCTCTCTCTCTCGCTCTCCACACCTTCATGAGAATAAAACCAAATGGTATTTTTATATTTATTTACGAATATCTAACTGATATAAACCCATCGGGTGATCGTACGATCAGTATTTTCTTATTCCATTATCCTCCATTAACATGGCTCCTGAAGCAAGTAAGAATATACATACTCATTGTTCGACTTAAAATTATTAATTAGATTTTAAAATCATTTTCAGTTTACAGTATTGACGTGAGCACATATATTGTTTGAAATTAATCCATTTTATTCTTCAGGTTTTTATGGTCTGTCCATTATTCTTCTTATTCATTGTATTGATGCACGTCTTGCTCCATTACAACATATGGCTGATAAGCCACTTACAATTGATGCTATATCAGCTAATTATATTCCAATAATTTCATCAGAAAATCAAATAAATAAACGTCAAACAACAGGACCAAAACCTAATACAACAGTGTGTTATCCACTTGTTGGTTGTTTTGATAATAATGATCCATTTAATAATGCTGGTTTAGAAGTTCCACAAGCACCAGAATTTATTGAAACTACTTTTCTTCTTTTTACACAAGAATCACCAACTAATCCTGAGTTTCTTTTATATAATGATGATGATTCAATTCGAAAAGTCGATGTAAATCCTTCTCGATGGTTAAGAATTATTATACATGGTTTCTCAAATAATCATGACAGTGTCTGGATGAATAAAATGAAGAATGAATTACTTAAATTAAGAAATGTAAGAATATACAAAAGAATTTTTAGTTAATATATTGATTGATGAAATTTATTGTAGGATGAATTATCTGATGTCCTTATTGTTGGTTGGGGTAATGGTGCAAAATTTCCTTTTTATCCAAATGCTGTTGCGAATACTCGTCTTGTTGGTAAACAAATTGGTATTCTTTTAGAACGACTCCAAGAATTAAAAGGAATTTCATTCAATAAAGTTCATTGCATTGGTATGTTAATATAAAAATATAATAAATAAAAGAAAGAATTACACATTCATTTCATTTAGGACATAGTCTTGGTGCACATACATGTGGTTCCGCATCAAATGCAGTTAATAGTCAATTCGCTCGTATATCAGGTCTTGATCCAGCTGGTCCATCATTTACTGGAAAAAAAATTTCAGTTCGTCTTGATCAAAGCGATGCACAATTTGTTGATATTATTCATTCAAATACAGAAATTGCATTGGGTCTTGGTCTTGGATCAGCAGAAGAATCAGGACATGTTGATTTTTATGCTAATGGTGGTCAATCTCAACCTGGTTGCCCTTCAGTGTAAATATAATTTAAAGTAAAAATTCGAAAACCTTTGCCATGCTATGCATGTCTCAGTCTCATAAGTGTAGTTCAAGCGTAAGCATTGGTGTAAAACGAGTTTTCGAATTTCTGCTGTAAAATTTTTATATTGAAATGAGAAGATTTTCGTGTTTTCTAGTGCTGCACTTATTGGAGGTGTCATCGGTGGTCAAAGTGAAGGTAAAAATATTTGTTAAAAATAAAAGATACGAAAAATATTATTCTCATATTATAGCTGCTTATGAACAAGCATCATGTTCACATAGTAAGTGTAAAATTTGAAAGAAAAATATCTATATTATATTTTATACATAGGTCGTGCTCATGGATATTTTATTGAATCAATTTAGTATATAAAATTGATTTAGAAATTGTTTGATCATTTTCTTTTAAATATTTATTTTAGTACTGAATGCCCATATACAGCTTTTCCATGTCATGATTACGTAAAAATAATATAGAGAAAAAAATCAAAACTAATTTTATCGTTATTTATTGTTCTATAGGACAGTTTTATGGATGGTAAATGTCGTGTTTGTCCAGCATCTGGTTGTGCTCAAATGGGTAATTTGTTTGAATAATATCAAACTTGTTATTTATATTCTCCATAGGTTTCTATTCCGTATATTCCCTTGGCCGTGGTAAAATGTATTTAACAACAAAAAGCAATTCACCATTCTGTGGTTAGAATTCTTCTCTAATAAAATTTTCGTTTTTTTATAGTTTTTTGATTATAGGTTATCATTATTTTGTTGAACTTGTACTCGATCGTGATATGGCTAAAACAGCTGGTGAAGTTTATGTAGCTATTTATTCCGACTATGAATTATTAGCTAATGTCAGTGTGACTGCAAAGTATGTAGTAATGTTCGAATGAATTGATTATGATAATTTATTGTATTTTTGTTCAAAGAAACAATGATGATATAAAAGCAGGTGATATCCTTCGACATGTATTTAGTTATCAAGCTGATTTGGGTAAACTTGATTATGCTATAGTATATTTTCATAAAGTAAAAACTCGTACGTAATCAATCATTTATACTGTAAAGTCTTCAAAGAAATATATGTCTTCATTTTAGTATTTGGATGGGGTGGTCAAAAAGGAGATGAAATTATTATTTCACGTCTTCGTATTAGATCACTTGAAGATACTCTTGTGTATGCATACATATATATATATATATTTTTTTCTTTGGTTCTATAGTATTTCTTTATATAGGTACAGTGGACGTTGTGACACAAGTACATCAGTAGCAGCATATACTTCACAAACATTGTTACTCAATCGTTTTGATTGTCACGATTAAGATCTTGATACAGAGAAATGATTTCTTCAATAATACAATTATTATTTTTCTGTTATTATTGAGTTCGAAATGAAATAAATAATATGAGAGTTTCATCTTATTCTTTTCTATTTACATTATTCGATTGGATACTACTCTAAAATAAGCACTAATTCATAACATTTATTGACCTAGTTTTGAGCGTAAAAGAATATATATCGTATATCTCACTTTGTAGATTTGTATATGGAAAAAGTCCTTCGAAAATGAGTCAAGCTTTATGAAATATGACACTGATGTTCTTACTGTGTTTGTAAATAGAGAAAGAGAGACGATTAACTGATGCATAAAAATACAAGGTTGTCTAATAATTATTTCCTCAGAGGGCATTCCAATAATATTAGCTATTAATTCATTCAGACATTTGCATGGTAAGTGCTCAATAATTATAATTTTGCCAACTTCACGCGACATCTACGTTTACATCAGCTGACATATTCGTTTCATTTACTTTATCATATTAATCTATTCACATCATTCGTTTTTTTTCATCATAATGATATTTTAAGAACTTATGATCAATTTCTTATTACATCATTTATTTCGACAGTAAAACTTTATCTATTACATATTTTATTTTGATATAAATTAAATTTTTAAATCAAGGTTATTTTTTGTTATTTATCTAGTTTAAAAGCATAAAGAGACAAATTAATTTTCTTTTATTATTATCCATTATTGTGACACACAAGAGTATCTAACGGAAATTTTACCGTTCGCTTGACGGTAAGGTGAGACCCCATTATTAAAAGAAAAGAATTATTTTTTCGCTTCTCGTTTTTCTTTTTCTCTCTTCGGTATATACTCAATGAACATAATACTATTTTATAGAGTGTATATATAGAATGATTATAAGAAAGAAAGAATGGAGAAATAATATACCATTTAGTATTGTAATCAATTGCTTTATATGTCTAGTTTAACGGCAAATCAACAAAGTATTTTATATGTCAAGAAGACCTTGATTTTGACAAAGATCGCTACCGTTACTAATCATAATCTTGACCGTCATCTGACAAGAATCGTTGCGGCCAATGCAGGTTTATCTTATAATAATAAATATAATAGATTTTCAATGTAATTATTTTAGAAAATTTGCATACACATATCACATCGATGTATAGCATTCTACGACCCAGCGATCGTATTAAATTGGTACGTCATTTCTATTCTTTTTTCTTCTTCTTTTTCATTGAATTTTATTTCTATAGATGGTTCAATTAGAAAGTGGCTTTCCAAATCATTTTCGTTATCTAGTCATTGTTACATGTATTGGAAAACAACAAACCGAGGAGTACGAAGAAGTCTTGGTTTTTTTTATTATTGTTAGTTAATATAGGTATTCATAGGTCATGTATTCTCGGTTTTGATATTGTTAAAAATGAAATTACAATTGGTTTGATATTACCAATATGGACTGATTTGAATATTTCACTCGATGGCGACGGGTAATTCTAAATTTCTTTCTCGTGTATTATTATTTGAGTATTAGAATAATATTGTTGCTAGTAGAAAAGTAATTCTATAAAAGCGGAAATCAGATGATGTGTATTTGCCTTAAGAAAAGTATTTTACAGTTGCAATGAAATAGATAGAGTATTTTATATGTGCTTGTTAATTAAAAGAATGATGAGAAAACTAACACATGGCTAAAGAATCTCATGTGATAGAGTATGCTGAATTGTGTCATCATGAAAGATGACAACGCATGATTTTCTAAAACATAGATAATTCATAATTTATTTTTTAGTGGTTTTAAATTAACTTCACACGATCGATGTTATATTTTCAAACCGGTGAGTGTCCAAGCTCTTTGGTATGTATAGAAATATTCTTAAAACTATCTTTCGTCAACATTCAGTATTTCTTAGGACTGCATATCAAAGTTTACATAAAGTAACCAAGCAAGCTCGTCATTATAATTATACTGTTAATAACAATAGTACACATAGTTGGTTAGAATATTATCGTCATAGAGATATTCAATCAAATCAATGTTATATAAATGAATGGAATCAAATGGAAGATATCTTATCACATCGTAGTGATTCATCACATATATATCGATTGTATTTATTTATTTTTTTATTTGGAAATAAAAATAATTATTCTTTTTTAGTTTATCATCGGATGAAGAAATATTTCGTACACGAATTTACATTAAACTAAAAGAAATAATGTTACAAGTTAATCTTGATGAAGTCACACCAAAATTTGTAAATATTTTGTTTATTTAGAAAAGAAATATTTATGTATATGAAATTATTTAGTTACGTGAACAATTAGAAAATATCTTTCAAATATGTTTATCTTCATATAAACAATATATTGATGATATAATGCTTGAAATTCTTGCACAAATGGATAAAGCAACAATGATTTTACCATATCTTTATCTTGGTTCAGAATGGAATGCATCAAATCTTGAAGAATTAAAAGCAAATAATGTTGGTTATGTTTTAAATGTTTCACGTGAAATAGATAATTTTTTTCCTGAACATTTTAAATATTTAAATGTACGTGTACATGATAATGATGATGCTAATTTATTAAAAGAATGGGAAAAAACATTTCGATTTATAAATGAAGCAAAGTAAATTTTTGTTTTTTATTCTTCATTCAATTCTATATTTCATTGATCTTTTTTAGAATAAATAATCTATGTTGTTTAGTACATTGTAAAATGGGTATTAGTCGATCTGCGTCAACGGTAAATTTATTCATAGAAAAAATAATAATTTTTGTTATCTTGAAAATGAATTTATTGATATAGGTATTAGCATATCTAATGAAAGAAAACAATCATTCATTAGCCGATGCTTTAGAACATGTTAAAAAACGACGATCATGTATAAATCCAAATGGTGGATTTAGAAATCAATTAATTATTTATGAAGGAATATTAGCAGCAAAGTAAATGATTATTTTTTGTTTTCGTTAAAATTTGCTTCTGATTTTTTAGTAAAACATTTCGAAATAAATTAGCGATTACTTCGATAAATGTACCATCAACTTCAGTGCAGTCATGATCAATAGATTCTGTAATTTCTAGTAGAACAAAATTCAATGGTGAAATTTGATGATTTAATTAATTAATTATTTTTTTTTCTTGTTTATATATTTTTCTTCTTTTATGATTTAAATATATTCATTTTTGTATGTGCAAAGTTCAAAGTTCTTTTTTTTTTCTTCTTCAAACGACACGATCATGTGCTTATTTTGGTTATTGTCATGCTGAAGTACCCGATAAAAGGCGCCGGCGAAGAGTGAAAATAACAATATGTCGTTTATCAATATATATTCAGCTATAGAAAATCAATATTTGATTGGCAATCGAACGAGATTTTTCTTTTTCTGAAATTTCAAAAAATAAATTTTTGAAGAAATCATGTCTTCCTACACTTCTGATTGACAGTGGCGGATTTCGAGAGGGCGATCACTTTCCCCCTTCCGAATTTTTTACAGCAAAAATAGGTTCACACTACTTCGATTGGACTCAAAAAATAGCTTTTAGCTGAAATCGCCCCCTCCCTCCTCAAGTATCGTCCCTCCATACTCAAAAAACAAAATCGCCCCTCCCCCCTTTCAAGAATCCTAGATCCGCCACTGCTGATTGAAATATAAGGATAATTAAATAATGTTTGTTAATTACATTATATATAAACTGTGAAATATTATATTTATATGAACGTAAATATATAAAGTCAAACAGTAACTATATTTTTTGTTATTTGGAAATACATTGACATATTCATTTAAATATAAAAAGATAATACATATGAATCTATTTAAAGGTTGAATAATTGTTTCGAAACTATTGAATATCGTTCGAACTAATCGAATAAATCATGTCATTAATAAAAACTATCGTCTTGAATTTATAACTGTTGAAAAATACAGATTTACCCTGATTGAATTTTCGGATATTTATTTCCTTTGAGATTGTTTGTATTTACATAGATAAATAAAGTTTATATTATAAAATGTCAAACTCAATTTTCTTGAGCAAGTTTTACGTAAATTTGTTTATGATTCATTTTTTTCAGGATTAGAAATCATGAATGAATTCTTTTTATTGCTTCGAATGCCATTGAGTAATAAATAGATACAAGAAATAACTTTTTTTTTCCTTTATAAATATATATTTTACGTATACAATTTTTTGGCAAATGTTTTATTATTGGGAATTATCATTAACCATTGAATTACGACGTTTGCGTCCGACAAGATAAGAGGCACGTTTACCAACTAAATATGTACCGCGTTTACCCACTAAATAGGATGCTCGTTTTGCTTCAGATAAATCTTCGTCTAAATCAAAAAAAAAACGTCATTTTAAAAAAATAAGAATGAATAAAACTTTTGTATTTACCACTATGTGTTGATGCTTCTTCATCAGATGTAGTGGCTACAACATATCGTTTTCCTACCCAATAACCATTGAGATGTTTTCGTTTTTGTAAGAGATCAGCAAATTGTTCTCGTTCTTTATTTGCTTGAGCAAAAACCATAGTCATAGCAAAAAGCATGACAACTATGTATGCGATTAATGTATTGTATTGCATGATTATTTAAATTTTCAGACAAATAAATATAGATTGATAAAGAAAAAAATAAATTTCAGTAATGGATGCGGAGTTGTAATGAAGACTGATGACCTAAAATATTTCTATTAAGAAATGAAAAGAAGAATCATAAAAAGAAATAACTAATATAGGCCAAAAAAAAGAAAGAAAAATTTAAATAATGATGCGTATCAGATATCGATGCATTAAATAGTTACAATTAATCTTTTCTAATATTTTTAAAGTATAATAAATGATGAGAATTTATTTTATAGTACGATTAAAATAGATTCTATAATGTCTGGAAGTTGACATATCTATAATATGTTCCTCCGCAAATCACAGAACTGTCAGAAAAATATATAAAAACAAATGACTAATAATTTATTTTAAAGTTAATTAATCAATGTCGTTGTAACTGTCACTTATAGTGTATTAAAGAAAAAATTCTTAAAAAGAAAATAAAAGACAATAGGATGTCGTCTGTTAATTTCTATTTCTATCTTACCTAAAATAACTTATGTATATCAAATAATCTAATCTATTAATTGTTAATAGATTTTTCTAAGAATTATGACTGATAGTTGCTGTCTAGTTTTCAGCTTTATTCTTTCGACTATCTCAACATACATACAAATAATGTCCTTGATTAGAAATGAACGGGCAATTAACTACTCGGTCTCTGTGTGTCTTTTCAACAGAGATTTTTCTTTAATCGATTTTTTTTCTCTCTCTCTCTCTCCCTCTCTCTATTTCTCTATACTCCTACTCGATCATTGTCGTCGATAGCTTACATCTTTTAGCGGTAGTACGAATAGTACAAAATCAAAAAAGAATAAGAAAATCTTGTCGATCCTGATACAAAATACAATGAATTGAAAATTATTAATGATAAAACATATTAGCTGATCGAAGCTAAAGTCTTACAATCGTTCGATCGATACAACATAAGCTTTTTTCTTTTTATTCTTTTTTTAGACCTGTTATTTGTTGCTTTGTCTAAACATCAAATGACGATAACGAGAAAAAAAACGAGAAATGACGTTCAATCAATGTGTTAATCAGACTGATTGTTTAGTTTTGTTATCGAGGGGAATAAAAAAAAGAAAAAATAGTATTAGATATAATATTAAAATGTACCAAAACAACGACTAATTTCACTTTAAGACATAACTAAAACTTCGTTCAAATGCTAAAAGTTTTTCTTAATGTGCTATTTTTTGTTAATTAAATGAATATTTGAATCTGTATTACATCATGTTTCATTTGCATTCAACATTCATCTGTTAATACTCATGTACACCCACACAAAAAAAATATGTTTAGTAGTAATAAGAATATAAACATATATGTATATTTATTAAATACATAAAAAAACAATAAATTAACAATTCTATTCGAACAATTTTTTTACAAGTTTAGTAAAGAATGGATTTGTTGATTTTGATGCTTGATTAATATGTTTTTCTAATAGATCGAATGTTTGTCGAAATCGTATAAGAGGATTTATTGATAATTCATCTATTGTCATTCGACGACGTTCATTAAGACGTTGAGAAAATAATAAAAATAGTTGTTTGGAATTATTATCAGGTCGTTGATAATCATCGAGAAATTTAAGAAAAATCATTCCTATAAAGAGAATTAAATGAAATGTCTATTTGAGAAGAAAAAAACATCAAGAACGGATCATTTGATCTGGATAAGATCAATCTTGTTTGAAAGATATTCGCTAGGTTTAGTTCTAATAGGAAAATAAGTAATCGAATTGTCTTTTTTTACATACCATGAATAAAATCATTAAGGAATGTAACATAGGATGATGTTGGTTGTAAAATAAGAAATTCATCTGATCGAAAATCATAACCAAGTCGATTTCCTTCTTTCTTTTTACATTCATCATGTTGTACATCATTTGATTGAGGATCGTTTTCATTATCATCATTTTGAGAATGATTTGAACATGTAGAAAATTTTCGTTCATCATTGGTAGATTCAATTGAAATTGGATCTCGTTTAAAAAAATCTGGTAAACGATGTAATAATTCAATAAATACATGTAAACATGCTTCACTAACGGCTATATTAATTAATGTTGAATTTGATTTAGTTAAACGAAATCTTATTAAATATTCTAATGATGATTGTAAAGTTTGTCGAAGATCAAGTGGTAAAATAAAACCATCATCAAGACCAACATCAATTGTATTTGAATCTAGATTAACACGTAAACAATCTTGTTCAATTATTGATGAGAATAGTTCAGTTGTTTCATATAAACAACCATAGATATATGGACATGGAGAATCAATTAAATCTTGCATCCATGATGATGGCATTATGGAAACAAATGGATATGGCCACATAAATGGATAAATTAAATGTGATAGAGCAAGACAACATTTTGTTAATTTCGAAAGTGAACGTGAATAACATAGAATTTTTTTTGAACGTAACATTGATTCAAATAAATAAACAATATAATTTGGTGATAGAGAAGAAAGTAGAGTAAAAAAATAATCATGATTAAGACGATCATCATGTGGACAAATATAATAAAATACACGATTATTATTTAGTTTACAAATAATATTTGAAGAATTTAATGATGGGATTGGTAATGGTTTGGAATAGAATGATTGCATTAATAAACTACAATCATATTCATTTGATATGTAAACTAAAGAACATAGATAAAAATTCATATGTCTTAGCAAACTAAAACAAGTGAAAATATAAAATAACCAAAAATTACAGACATCTAATATATTTTAATTAATTCTTATAAACCATCTCGCAGATAGAAGATTATTTATATATTTCATTATGCTCAAACACGCAAAGTTTTCAGAATCTTGGAAAAGATTTGTGGAACTTTAAAAAATTAGAAATAATGATGATCCTAGTCTGTTAAGAATTTCAATGCAAAAATGTGAAATCTAAGTGTATTTTAATAGATATATACTAGTCAGCGTTTCGATCGTTAGAGATAAATATTGTATTGCGGGACAGTGTAGTTGTCTGATTAGTATTTCACGATATGACATTAGGATCGAGGTAGAGTTAGGTGAATGAAAATCTTCTCTTCATCATTAGTAGTGATATAATTTAGGTGAAACTGATCAACGAACAAGTGTCTTAAACCCATCATTATATACCATAATGATCATCTGAACTATAAAAAATCTTCAAAAGAATACATGCCAATAGGTCTTCTTTCAAGATTTATAGTCATTTTACTAGAATTTTAGTAGTTATGTACGAACAAATTGAATGACGTTATTTCAAGCTGAACTATTGCTCACGGATAGCTCTACTTATGACGAGAGTACCCTAAAAACTTCAACTCAAAGGAATGTTTCTTTTTCACAAGATACTGAGTTCCCAAAATTTACTCGAATACTATAAAAGATCCTTTTGAGCTGAAATTTCTAGGGCACTCCATTCGTCAGTAGAGTTATTTATAGGAAAAGCTGCAGCTTGTAATACCGTCATTCGATTTGTTAGTGTATATCGAGCTATAGGTTAAAATTCTAGTAAAATCGCTATAAATTTAGAGAGAAGACCTATGCGCAGTTATCAAATAAATGAAGTTCCTCGTAAGAACTTCTGATCCTTGTTTACAAAAGTTGAACTCAAGTTTATATTTTCGATGTGAGAAATCTTTCATCTAATTTAACTAATGCAAACTTTATATTTAAGTCTTAAACATCTGTGCTTTGACAGCAGTTGATAAATATACGTATTTAAGTAAACTGTTTTCATTTGTAATTCTATTATATTTTACCTGCAGTTAATTCACTAAGAATAGCATCAAAAAGTATGAAATATGGATAAATAGAAACTAAAATAGAAAAATAAAGAATAATATTTCTTTATAAAAATTTTAAATATTACCTATACAAATAACAACTGGAAATTTAGTCATTTGATTATTATCATAAGTAATTCGTCTACAATATCCATATTCAGCTTGTCCTTTGGAACTTGTTCTTGTAAAAACATATGTTGATGGATCATTAACTATACTTCCTCCATTTTTTTGTTTCGTATTTAATTCCGGGAAACAAAATTTTTTATAATAATTTATTTCTTCAATAATATGTTTTTTATCATCTTCACGTGGACAATAATCTATTAAAAGTTCTTTATCAACATTCCATTCAGATAATGTTATAATAAATGAAAGTTTAAATAAATGTAAATCTAAATTTGATGATTTTGTTGGTGTTTTATGAGCTTCTAGGAATCGATTTAAATCTTTTGTTGATTTACTATAATCAAGTACATAAGATGATTGTGGTGGTTGAAATAATTGTTTATCAAATAATAAACCATTAATAATCAATCCATTTGAATCAGTATATACATGTGCTGTATTTGCTCGACGTCTAGGTGTTACATGTAGATGATTTGTCGATGTATTCGAAGGTGGAGATAAATAATGTAAACCAGGAGCTTCTTCAACATTTAAATTGACACATGATATAGTATCACGATCTTTTTGATCATTTTTAGATCTTGGATCATGTGAATATGTTTGATATAAACGATTATCACTATGATTTGCTCTCATTATTTTTTTTAATGAACTAAAAATATATGAGTATATTATTTTTTTCAAAAAAACAAAAAAAAAAGCATTAGCCCATGACGAAATATCGAACATGTGAGATATAAAAGAAAATTTATCATTCTCTTTTCTACGTTCTGCATGTTTTTCTAATATTTATTTTTTACTGTTCTTTTTCATCGTAATATACAAAAAAAATGAATATCAATCAATATAAGAAGAAGAAGAAGAAAAATTGTGCACCTGTTCGTATTATTTATCATGTATAGAAAAGAGGATTGTCATGTATGCTTATTTTCTTATAGCTTATAACCATAAGAAATCAAATGCTTTAGTAAAAACAATGCTGAAAGCTTTTTTTAACTAAAAATATAATAAGGAATAAATATCAAACCGTTATGTCGAAATAATATTTATGAATCAAATACATATAGAAAGAAAGAACGAGTTCTTTTTTTTCCAGTTCGATGATAAAAAGGAAAAATAAGAAATAATCGATTTGTTCAGTGAAACATAAATATAATTTCGATTGGTAACTTATCGATGCAAACGAAGGTTTATCATTAATTAACAATTAGAATTGAATAGTTGAGTTGAAACCTCGAATAGTTAGATATAGACTTAAATTGTATTTATGATTAATATTATTATTTCCATCAAAATGTTTTTATTTCATTTTGTTTTGGCAAATTATGGAAATTAGATTAACTTTTATGGTAATATTTGTTTTGGAAGTTATTAATTGTGGAGAAAGTTTTTTGCCAGTAAAATATATAAATCATAAAATTGGAAAATGAAACTAAAGTTATCGATCAAAATAAATGTTCAACTATTAAATTCGCCTCATATAATTATTAGGATGAGTAGTAAAAATTAATGAATATCTTTCGTTTCATATGTTCAAATAATTATAAATGAAATTTGTGAAATATAACATTAAAATAAATCTTTTAGAGGTCAAGTTACTTTAATGACATATTACAAATACGAACAACAGATTTTATTATAATAATAACAGTTGTTATATATATCCTTTCTATTGCCAAAATAATTGGTATATATATATATATACATTTGCTTTTATAGCTGTTATTGTCGATTATTGTATGCGTTAACCTTGCTAGAAAGTCATTTTAATGTCATTAAATATAAATAAAAGAATAGAAATTATTACTTAACTTGTTTGCCTATATCATTCGAATTTTATTTCTATGAAAAAACAGTTTTATTATAATCCTTATAAAGTATAAGTTTCGTTTTACTGTCTTTATTACAGTTTATCGGCTTCTTTTTATTTTGGTATCATATATAAGACGAGCAATTCGAAATGACACTTCAAAAAAATGAAGATAATTTCAATGTCTTATTAATAAAAGTCGATAAGAAACAGCTGTATAATTTTTCGTATTTTATTTCTCGCAGGTTTATTCTTAAAAATCTTTCAATTAAATACAAACGAGATATTTTATATGAATAGAATATGCGTGACTTAAAAAAAAAAGAATTAGTTCTTCTTTTATGATTTGACATCTATATGATCAATTGTTCAGTTCATTTTCTTTCAAATCGTGATATATCATTTTCTTCGCACTCTAATTATATGTGCATATATATATAGTTAATAAAATTACAAGTCAAACTTTCTCTAGCAAAAATTAAAAATAGAGAAGAATACAATAACCAGATTCTCTGTAATTTATTTCTCTGACCTTATCATCAATTTTATCTCTACTTGGAAAACACGTTTCACTCAAAGAAAAACAAAGTAGTGTTTATGTAATATCTTTGTTTTTTTTGTCCAAATAAATAAAATTAAAAAAATGTGCAATTATTATTCTGTTTTTTTCTTTGTATAATTATCAGTAATAACAAAATTTAAAAGTTTTGTCTATCTGTGATAAGGCTGCATGTACTGTCCATAACTTCTTGCATGTCTTTTATGATAATTATTTGTTCCAAGTATAACAATTCCATTTTGATTATTTCGTCGTTGAGTATTTGTTTTTGGTGCTAATAATTTAACTGGTGTTCGTTGATTTTTTGTTGAATAAAAAACAATTTGTTCAGTATTTTGTGTTGAACGTTTATACCAATTTGTATATATTTTACAACAAAAATAGTTACGAAATAATTTAATTAATTCAATACGAAAACGTGTACATGCAAAAATAAATGCTAAGAAATTTGATGCATGATGAAAATGAAGAAGAATATTGGTAATTATATGTATAACATATTGACGACTACTAAGATTACTTGATATTAATAAATAAATGGCATGTATTGTTGAAGGTGTTGCTGTTATAACAAAAAAAATAGATGATGCAACAAGCATTGCAGTTAATTGACGTTGTTTACTTGATAAATCTAATTTAATTTTCGAATCAGGACTTAATGTACGTTCAATACGTGATGCTTGATGAAGACGTTTTATAATAATAATATTACATATAATACAAATTGGAACAATTAACCAATATGTTAAAACTGATCGTATAGTTTCCCATGCTAAACGATGAAAATCTTGTTTAAATGCACAAAATGAACGAACAGGATTTGTTTGATTTGTTCCATTAACATATACAATATGCATATGATGTGTATAATGACTAAATATAATTAATGATATCATAAATAATATAATAACAAATAAACGTGATTTAATTTGACTTGTTAAACGTGGCATATGACATGGATTAAACACAAGAGAACAACGTTCAATATTTATAAAACATACAATCCATACAGATAAAAGACGAAATACATCCATAAAAAAGAAAACAATACAATCATAAGATGTTACTTGTGGGCGAAGTTTAGTAAAAATTTGTAGACTCTGTAAACAAAGTACACAACAATCAGCAATACATAATCCAGAAATAAATGCAGCTGATGGAGTTTTACGAAAAAAACGTTGATTAACAATAATTAATGTTAAAAGATTTCCTGTACATCCAAATACAGATAAACATAATATAGCTATAGTTCGAATACGTTCTAAGATCAACATCTAAAATGAATAGTTTCTTTGATTTTTTACCATTTTATAATATATAAAAAAATAAGATGAATACATGAGCGGCATTTCTTTATATCAAGTTGAAAAGAGTTATGAATAAAAAAAATGAGATTATACTATGACGTGACAGTTTATCCCTAGAGTATGACGAGCAAAAGTTGTCGAGCTTTCGTTCTTTGATAATAATATGCTCATAACGATTTTTCCTCGAAACGTTATTTAAAAATAAAAAAAAGAAAAGGATGCATTCGTTAAGATAAATAATTAGAACTATCCATGCGACAAATGTTCTCCGTATGGTATCTACTCCTACTCTATATGATATCTTCCTTCGTTTTTGTGTTTCTCCAGAAAGCTTCTTATAATATGAAAATATACACAAAGCAACATTTGGTATTTGCTAGTATTGTCTGTAAGTTACTGAGATGACAAATCATAAGACAAAGGGAGAAGAGAAAAATAGCTAAAATAGTATATACTATAGAGAAGATATAAAATGACGTCTATATATATTTTATTTATACATACTTCGCAATTAATAAAAAGAAATTAGAGGTTCTGATTTTTGAGAACTTGGTCGGTATTTATCATGTCAACTATTCAATTCATTCAAGCAAAATAATGCAAATTGCTGATTGCCGGTGTAAACATTTTTCTAACAGTGACAACTCATCTTTCATCGAGTGTCTTAGTTTTCTGTTCTCTCGAGATTTTTCTTTATATGTTAATCAATGATCTAAAAACTAGTAAATACTCGTTCGTTATTAGTAGACATGAATAAAAATTGATTTCCGAGTGTGAACATAATGTTACTTTGCTCTATGCACCTTTTGTTTATCGAACTAATAAAAGAAAATGTCAAGAAAGTTTCTTTCTTATGATTTGTATTGTCATCATTGTCGTCTGTTGTTATGCATATTTCGCTCGATTATTTCAAGCAATATAATTGATTAAGAAGGCATAAAAAGACAAACGATGTGTTGATGATGCATGAAATTGTCCTTTATATGTTTGTTGATTTTATTATAACTAGTTAATTTAACCTCAAAATAGAAAGACATCTAGCAACAGAAATCTTTATTAATTTAGAAACTGTACAGATACATATATTCGATGTTTCCTTTGTATATATATATACAGTACAGACAAGAAAATATATCTCCGGAGATATATGGTTTTTTTCTTTTGTGTTTTTTGATTGCATTTTCATATTAAATAGGTTGTCATAGTATTGTGATTTCATCATGTCAACTTGAATTGTTAAATAAAAGAATAATTTGATTTTTTGCTTGTCAAAATAGCTAATCTATTGTTAAGATTTCTCTATTTTTAATAGTTCATAAAAGATCGTATACATTTTTAATGTCTTTAGATGAGAAATAAGATATGATAAATATATGTAAAACAGATTATCCTATATATAATGATTTTGATTAATTTACCGACAGTCTTTTTTTTCTCATGAATAACTAATATTACAATATGTTTTTGAATACTTTTTTGTTTATAAAAGATTTTATGGTTATTTAATATGATATCTAATATTTCATGGGATTTGATATATCGTATTCCGTTAAGGAACAAAACATAAGCGTTTAGATTTTTTGTTTTTACTGAATGTAATTATATTCAAGATTTTTTATTTAAGATATAAATATAGTATCTATTGTATTCAGAAATCATATATGTGAATGTCTTTACCTCTTGGGATTATATTATCATATTACGAATAGTATATAATCAATGCCTGTTTTTTCTATTAGTTCTATCTCGTTATTGAGAATCAAATACATCAAGGAATAGAGTAAAAATGAGTTTTATATCTTAGCATTGAGAATAAACTTATTTTTTATCAAAATATCATTATCTATACAATAAATAAAAACATATTTTCATTTAGGTTTTAATCATGCGAGATTAATTATATTCATATTATTAAATAAAATATGACACTTTTATCGATATGATTTCCGATGTAATAAGCAGTAAAGACTTGAAATTACATCTACTAATGTATATCATTAATATCTAATACAATCCATTAACTGCTCAGTATAACACATATTGATGTATTTCTTTTTATCTAATGTCTAATTATTATGTCTTGACTGTTTGTATTATAATCATTAACATCTATGCGAGCTAAACATAGCGATTATATGAATGACAATAAATATGAATCGAGAATTTCAGCTATTATTAAAAAACTAGTAAACAAAAATAATGGAAAGACAATTTTGATTTATCCTATCAACCATTATTATTCATTTTAAACTCAAGATGTCAAGAAAAAGGTGTAATTAAATAAAAATGAACCATGATGGATGTAGAAAATATGCACTGAAAGTTAACCTTTATTATACCGTATAAAAATAGACAAAATCAAGTTTATCTACTCTAGAAAACAATGACATATTTATAAGATAATTGTTTTTATGATGCTAAAATATAGAGTTCATTCTATCTAATATTGAAAAGTATTATGTAGTCATGCCGTTTACATAAATCTCTGAAATATTGATGAAACAACGATCCTATGATTTGTATTTATCAGATGAAAAAATATGATAGTAATGAACAGTATCTGTTCTTTACATAAAATCTACTTATAGAACAATAAAAAAAAATTTTTTTTTAATTATCACCATATGACAGGTTAATTCGGTCATCGAATTTCGTAGATTGCAAAATTATATTTTCATAAAATTTGAAACTTTGCTATTGGATATGTCTTGCTTATTATTTTCTTTTCATTTGTTATCTAAATTAATTATTATCAGTTTGTTATGAAGACCTTGTAGATCATCTGTTCTATTATTTGTGAGTATTTCTTCGTTTACACTTCGATAACCTATGATAATGATTTAACAAATAAACATAATTAGTTTTTTTTTATTATGAATAATATTTTTTTTCATTCAATTTCAATGAACAATTAAATAAATATTAGAAGTATTTATATCAATAGAGTAATATGCTTTCTTTCTTTAGACTATTTGACTATTCAATAAGATCTTTAAAATCACTCAGGAAGAAGACATTGAAATATTCTATTTCCGTTTGCTAATATTACATATAACAACTTCTTTTTCATCTTTTATATATATAATTGTAATCAAACGTATTGTATTCTAATATATTTCCGTTTGAAAAGAAGTATTATCCTATTCAATATTTAAATATAATATAAAGAATATATATATATATATTTTTTTGTCACCATGGCTCAAACGAGAATAATTCTCTATTTGTATATATTTTTTTTTGGTATACAAATTGAACAAAAAACAAAAGAAAAACAAAATACAAATGCAAAAAAAAAGAAGAAAAAAAAAACCTCAAATTATTTTTCTCTTTTTTTATTTGTGTCTGTGTCTATCATACAGGAACAAGAGAGTATAAGAGAGATAGGAAAAAATCATGAGTGAATTAAACACCCATTCACACACGCACACACACGCACACGGAAGAGCATCGATAAGAATAAAAAAAAAACAGACGAAGAAAAGACATGGTGCGGTTGCAACAAAGTAACAATCCTAGAAATCGCCATCATCATCATCATTTCATTGTCGTATCTTTACAATACAGCAATCTTTTCTTTTTATGTTTTGCTACGCACATGATGAAAGAATAGAAGAAGAAAAAAAGGAAAAAAAAGAATACCCCTTCGTTGTTTGTTATTTATCGGCTATAAAATAGTAGTTGTTACAGTAGGCCACAAAAACAAAAACCTTAAGCTGTATGTATACATACAGATACGCACATAAAAAGACGATAAGATGGAGAGAGAGAGAGAAAAAAAACAGAAGAAAAAAAAAAGAACCAAATGATAATGGGTAACAAGCATCATCATATCATCTTAACAATTGAATAAACCAAAGAGCAAGGGATAAGTTTAGAAAAAATATGGCAATAAACACTCGATTTCGATAGATGACATTCTAAAAGAAAACAAAAAAACGAGTTATATAATTAATATATGTTATTCATATTAATAACAAAAACAATCTTATACCTGAATGCCATCAAGATAATCATCAGTTTGTATCGATATCTCTTGGGTAGATACATGCATATTGGTGGTGATAGTTGGATCAGTAGCAGGAATAGTACACTGCAAAACATGCACATGCAAATCAAGTCTTAATCTCTTGAGATATAAATATTGATTAATTTTTTTCATGATAGATATTTATTATTGATCGAACTTAAGAAAAACTTTTTTTCTCTCTTCTTCTTCGTCTTCTTCTGCTTGTTTATTACTCTTTTAATGCTTCTTTTCGATATACGCTAATATGCGTATGATCGATGTTAATCGTCAACAAAAAATGACAGCAATAGGACTCAACGAAGCGAATGTTAATATCTAATCGAAGATTGGCATGAAAAAGAAACAAGGGTAAAAAGAAAAAGATCAATGGCAAATACTATTACGCAGCAAACTAATAACTAATTTATAATGAGATAAATAAAGGATTTGTAATCTTCTATCTATTTTAGTGGATTAGTGAATAAGTGTGTATATATATATATATGCATTTTAAAATAGGAAAACACCATGCATAGGTTTTTTCATGTGTTAACTTACTTGTAATAATCCTTTCACGCGACCAATAGCTGTTGAATCAAAATCACGTTGACGGCGTAATTCTTCTCGCCGTTGAGAGCCAAGTTTTGTTGCTTCTTCTCTTGATATACCTTAGTAAAAAAAAGAAATGAACCATATTTCAAAAAAAGAATTAAATTTACTAGGAGCTTCTTGTCGATGTCGAGCAATATTGACAACTGTTGGCATACTACCACGTTTATTTCCACCAGTACTATTTGTTGTTGATGTTGGTTTATCTAATTTTGTAACACTTTCAAGAATAACACGATGAGCAAGTATTGGTGAACCACTACTACTTGTCATCAAGGATGCTTCTGGTATGAGTGAACCACTTTCTGTATATACTGGTGCTTGTGCTGTAACACGTTTACGTATACCATTTTCAATGATAAATGTTTCTTTTTCTTTTAAATTGTCACTTGATCGAGCTGTTTCATCGATTTTATAAGCATCAGCATTTGTTTTAACAATACTTGGTAAAGATTTTCGTTTTGGAAGAGGAACTGGTTGTGGAACATCATAAACGTCAATACTTGGTGTAGCTGATCTTATTGGATTTGTTTGATTATTTGGATTATATATATGATGTTGTTCAGGATCAAAACTAGTACCACCAGAACTCAAACCTGAATCATGACCACTTGAATTTCGAGAATCGAAAGTACCATGAACAAGTTGAGGTCGGATATTAAAATTATTTCCTGACTTCGTCGGTGTTACTCTCGTACGAGAATTCGATGAATGACGTATAGCTTGAGGAGCATGAAGATTGGAGGAAGAATGAATATTTTCATATTGTTGTTGTTGCTGTTGCTGTTGCTGTTGTTGTTGTTGTTGTTGATCGTGAGCTAAATCATCTGTTGATGCATCGAAATGACGTGTTCTTATAAATGTCGATCGTTTAGGTACTGAACGTGAACCCATACCAGCGGGATTTGCTACGAATTGTGCAGGAGGTGGAACTGGTGATGATGATGAATCAAAACTAGCCGACATTGTTGTAGTATGATCATCATCAAAACTTGAATTTCCATATATCGAATGATTAGCAGATATAGGTTGAGTTAAATGAGAATATTGATTAGACACGGAAATACCTTTAAAAATCACAATCAAATTATTATATACAGAATAATTTGAAAAAACAAACCTGTTTGTGAATCGGGCATATTATTATATTGTGCTGATGTCATATTTCTATTAGATTGTTGATAATAATCTGGATGTTGATGTTGATTTTGATGTTCTTGTTGTTGCATAGGCAATGGTGACTCAGTCATCTATATATGTATTCCAAATAAAATTCTAATAAACTTTTTTTCCTAAACAATAATTTTACCTTTATATTTGGATTCCAATTATTTGTTTGCCTTGAAGGTGGTTGACCTTGATAAACACCACCATCAAGTATTTGAGCTGATGATGTTACTAGATTAGGTTTATGTTGTTGAGAGAAATTTGATGGTAATGACATTGAAGTATTAGGTACAAAGTTTGATGGTACTGGTAAACGACCATTAGGTACACAGACATTAATGGGAGTACTTGTAACTAGTTTTCCATCAGATTGTCGATCAATATCTAACGGTATGTATGTTTGTGGTTTATCTTCTCCTGAGAAAGAAAAAAAATAGATGAATATATCTTTCTTTTTTTATCTTTAAAATAATTACCTGGTTGTCGGAAATCAGGTGCAGCTAGTTTTGCACTTACACGAGCTTCAACACTATCACTTCGCGCTTGTTTCGCATAGATTTCTGCTGAATGTGCTTTGGAACGAGCATTATTTGCTCTAGAATAAAAGAAAAAACGATTGTTATTATGTAATTATTCTTTTTTTGTTAAATATTATCTTACCTAGCCATGGCTATTTCAGCCTTTTGTTGAGCATTTGTTGCTGATTTCATCGAATTATTAAGAGACGTATCGATTTTATCACGAAATTTTGATGAACGAAGTAAAAATAATTTACTTGGTTTACGTTTATCATTTACTAAAATATTATTTTTATATTTTCCCTCCTCCTTTGTACCATCACGAAATGTTGTTACTCCATAACCATTCTTCTTATTATTAAACCATTCACCTTCATATTTTAAACCATCAGATCGTTCAGCAATACCGAAACCAGTACGTTTATCACTTTTCCATTCTCCCATATAAGTTTCAACAACATTATTATCAAGTATATCATCTTGGGATATAAATGATTGATCACCATCATCAAATGCAGCCATGGAACTGGGTGTATGACCATGTGATGCAATCATTGTTGATGTTTTAACTGAATGTTTTGAATCTCCACTTGTTGAACTTGCTGTTGAGCGAAATGAACTTGTTTTCTTTTTAGGTGTTAGATCTTCAATATCACTCGTTGATTTTTGTTTACGTAATTTTGCTAAAAGTGTTTTACGTAATGAATGACGACGATCAGCACTATTTGATAGTGAACCACGATGTGGACCTTGACTAACACTACGTGCTGATGATGGCTCATATGTATCTGATTTTGAACGAAGAACAAATCCACCACGATTTTCATCCATACGTTTATCTCGTTCACCTATATAAAACAATTATAGAAAAATTTATCGTAATCAAAAACAAAAACAAATATTTACGTTGTATTCGTTCTTCATCATCTTCTGAACGAAGTGATGTTAAAGAATCTCGTACATCTTTTGATCGATATCGTGATGCTAAACCATAAGGTACACTTCGTCGTATACCAAAACCATGACGAAGTCCTTGCTGTATCTGACCATGATAAATACCACCGTCTGCATATATTTCAATACCATAACCATCTTGTAAACCATTTGCCCATGTACCTTCATATCTAGCACCTGAAATATCCGAGACTCGAACACCATATCGTCCTTTAAAACCTTGTGTCCATTCGCCTTTATAAATCCATCTTCCTTTCCTTTCAACACCCAATCCATGTCGCTTTCCACTCATCCATTGACCTTCATATGAATTTCCTGACGTCTATAGAATACAAATACATATAAATATATACAACTAGTTCTAAATTATAAGAATTCTCAAAAATAAAATATTTATTTACCCATAAATAAATGCCAGAAAATTCATAACCATATTGCCATGCGCCCGCATATTCACCTTGTCCTTTCGGACCTGTACATACACCGTGTCCATGTGCTTTACCATCATTCCATCCTCCACAATAAGTACCGCCGTCATCAAAATCAAAACGGCCTCCATTCGCTCCGACGCTCATCCGGGAGTCCGTTCAATAATGATTAGCCGTAATGCTAATAGCAGCAACATCAACAACGTCGACGATGTCGATGATCGCGAAAAAAAAAGAATTATTAAAAAGAAGAACTGGCAGGAGGTCACACAAAATTCTTGTATAATAAATAGTAGTTATAGACGAAAAAAGATAATGATGATGAAGGAGGAGAAAAATAAAAAGGACAACGGTGCAACGATGATGTTATGATCAATAATAATAGTGTAATAACGTTGAATATGTCATCTTCATAAGTCAATCAATTCCCAGCAAAACATAGCACTGCATAACGATAATGCCATGTGCGCTTGGGCTAAAATGAAATGTATAAATTATAAAAGAGAAAAAAACTGAAAATCACGTATAACACGTACACACACACACACACACTATTTTATTTTTTATCTGAGAGACAAAGATCGCAATCAAATCCTCTAGTTACTGATTAGTTATTTTTCTACAATCATAACATACTTAATGCTTTTCTTTTCTCATCTATAAATATCATGGCAGATAAAAGTATAAAGCTAAATTGTATCTTCTCGACCTCAATGACAAAAATATATTAGTATATATATATATATATATGTTATAGTAGGGGAAAAAAATTGTGAACTTCAGAGGTATTCGATCACACACATCATTACCCATCAATTGTCAAATCAGTTTCTTTTTCTATTACTATATGAGAATAATATCAATGTCGCGATCTAAACACTTCTTTTTTCGTTGATCCAAAAAAAAATCGTATATAGATATGTATATATCCATAACTATACTCGAAATTACATCACACACGAGTGCGTGTATTAGCAAGAGCTTACTCGAAACGAAGATGGAGGACCATCAGAAAGAAAGCGAGCGAGAAAGAGGAAGAGAGACTTGATGGTCCAAGGGTTTTGTATCGCGCGTGCCTGTTTATTTATTTTTGCTCTGGTTTGTGCGTGCATTATACACGTTGGATGGTTTCTCTCGCTCTTTTTCTCCTTCACATACAAATAAGCAGATTTTAGACAGCAGCAAACAAAGAAAAAGAAGAAGAAGACGTAGAAGAGAAATACAGGAAGAAGCATACGGAAGGAGTTGTCGTCAGTCGTTGTCGTCGTCCTCGTCGACTGATTACATCGAAGGCGTACGATACTAGACTGAAGAACAGCATTCGTGCGAAAGAAGAGAAGAAAGAACAAAAAAACGGAGAATTATTAAAAACAGTAATAAATACATTACATATATATATATATATATAAGACGAGAATAAGAACGCACGATGATAAGAAAAAAAAAAGTTCTTTAGAATGTTTATACATATACAATGATGGTAGTAAGAAACAGAGAGCAGAACAACAAAAACAATAATAATAATAACAACGAGAGACGATGGCGATGATGATAAAACTACTGTTGTTGATGCAGCGGCACGGTGATAGAAGTACAACGACATTGCGCTTTCTAAAGTAGAATAGATTTTTTACACTCTTTCGCTTCGTTCTCTTTCTAACAGAATATATGTAGCAGGATGACAAAACAGATAACTTGGCATTCACGAGACAAAGAAGCCCTTGTGTTTCCTTCCAATCCATTTGTCTCCTTTTAACGCCCTTCATCTTTTTTTTTCTAGTTTGCATACAGACATATATCGCAACTCTTCGTATAAATATATATGGTTAACACATACACAGGAAAAGCATGTCGTCTCGTTTCGATGTACTACTTTAACACTCATCAATACCATCGAGAGGAAAAATACATCTATGAATCAATCATTAGTTCGTTCTCTCTATAGTATTGGTAGAAGTGTGTTAACGAATAAATAAGAAAGAAAAACTCTCGTCTAATATATAGCTTTTTTTTCTTTATCACGTACGCCTTGAATTCACCTGTTCGAAATATGTATATGTGTCTATGTCATCGTCATCTTATTGCCATAAAAAGAAATACAACAGACTGATAGACAATCTCTATCTTTTTCCGCTTTTGGCTTATATGGACAGCAAAGCATTGATATCAACTATATTTCTTTCTTCTTCTTCTTCTTCTTTTTCTTCTTCTTTTTTTCCCAACACAAGTCAAGGTTGGACATTTGTGGCATAAGTAGAGAAAACGACGAAGAGGGACATGATAATTTAAGCAAGGCCAATATATGGATCATTGATAAATGCGTACTTAGGAAATTCCATTAACGGATATATCAACTATTTCGTAAATCTAATAATAAAAGTCGAACATTTCACTAATAAAAAAATATGTTGTTTAGACGTGCTAAATTCTATTCTCTTTCTTGTCTTGATAATCACATCTTTTTAAAAAAATCATTGGAATGTTTATTGTCTGATATGTGTTTACAACATAACAGAATATTCGATTGATAGTTCATGAAAAATATGTAATGTGACAAGGTACAAGACATACCAAAGAACAATCTTTGAACAAACAAAATAAAAGAAAGATCAGATTTACTTATATACAGTTACCTACTGTATGTTAATCTTACGTTGAGAAGTTCACGATCATTATCACTTCCTTGTACAGTCTCATCTTTTTTTCGTAACAGTATATATGTAATATAAGTTCATTCACATCTAAATCAAAGAAATAAAACAGAGCATCTACTTATAATTATCTACATGTATTCATATTGGTCATCATCATCATCATCATTAGTATTACTACTAATAATTCTATTAATAAACATTGCTTATATCACAAATTTACGTTGTCATGAAGATATTGATGGTTCTCTTCAATTAATGGATAATTGTCGTTCATGTATTATTTTTATTGATACAAAACGTAGCATAAAAGTTTCACCAAGAAAAAAAGACATATATGAAGGATCAACAATTCAAGAATTATTTTTATATAATAATAAAAAACGTCATCGTCGTGATGATGCTAATATTATTATTCGTCAGCAATGTGCTCGTGAACATGATGGTCCATTATATGGTTATGATCAAACACATTGTTATTGTAATTCAAATCGATGTAATACAAATATTCAACGTTGTTTTTATGAAATAGCATCAAAACGTTATTTTTCATGTTATCATGGTTCAAATGAAAGTCATAATTCACTTGAAATCTATAAGAAATGTCGTAGTTGTCGTATACAAATTGATTCTAATATGATATTTCATTATGAATGTTTAACATTTGGTGAACAAGAACACAATAATCATACACATTGTACATGTCAATATCCAATGTGTAATCAAGATATAGGATTATGTCAACGTTTCCAACAAACACCATCTCAACCGCGACTAAACTATATTCATGAAACTTTTCTTAATGCAACTTACAATATATTTACTAGTACAACTACAACAACAGATTCAACGAGTATTTTAATAACATTTCCAAATACTAATCATGCAAAAGAAGAACGTTCTATTGAAAATGCAACATTTAATCAAGTCACTTCCTTATTATTAAATGAAACTAAATATGTACAAACAATTATTATTGAGATAAAAAATCATGCTAATTATTTTTCATTAAATTTCCATTGTATTTCAAGCATTTTTTGCTTTTTTATTTCTTATATGTGATCATCATTAGTTTTATCTTTTAAAGTGTATATATTTAATTACTGAAAATATTCTTTACAAAGACATATATATATATAAATGCCATCAAAAAAAATAGATTACAAGTCATTTCGTGCAACTCTTATTTGTAATTAACCTTTGAACCATTTGTTAACATTCACATAATTAATCAACTTTAATTTTTACTTAAATTCGAATGATGTCGCTAGATGAAATAACACACATGTGTTTATATATATCTTTTTAATGAGTCTCTATTGACAACCTAAAGGGATAGAACATGATTAATGGCTTTTGATTTCTTCATAACTATTTTTGAGGTTTACATTATATAAAAAAAATTATCATGGCGAGATCTTCTACTAAAGTCGAAGATTATTGGCGTCAACATAATATTGAAAATTTATTTAAAGAATTAACACAAATTCTTGTACGACGTACACCATCGGATCCAGCTATTGCAATAGTTGAACATCTTCAAAAAAAATTTCCAAAATCTTTTAAAACATCAACAGATAATATTGGTATCGTTCCGAAATCATTAGCAAATAGTTTACAATTACGTTCAACAATTTCACCACGTTCTGATGGTCACAATGATAGTATAAATGATACTCAAATCGGACGTCGTTTATCCATTCAAAGTCAAGTTAGTGGAATTGCTACTATCCCCACAATGGATTCTGCTTTTACTGATGTACTTAAACATAATGTAAGTTAATATTATTGTTTTATTTTTAATCGAACTCTTGTATATATATTAGACTAGTATTTTGAGCCAAGCACCAGAATCAAATATCAGAACTATTGCATCTGTTAATCGTACAGCTCAACAAGCTATTAAAAAGGGAAAAGATATTCGTTCAGATCATGATATACTTGAAGAAGAAATGATTAAACCAACAAAAACTAAATTTGATACATCAATAACAGAAAATATATCTGATAGTTCTTTTACAGAAAATATTGAAAACCAAGAAACACATAAAGAACCAACTGTACAACAAATAATTAAATATAAACAAAATATTCTTACGGAAAAAGGTCGTCGTTTACATCAAGAAAAACTTGCCGAATTAGCTAGACAACAAGATGAAAAAGAAAAATTCTTTCGATCAGATTTTGCAGTTAATCCAGAAGAAATTCAACAACAAGACAAACTCAATGACGAATCAACATCACAAGTTGTACCAGATGAAACAAATCGTAATAAAGTTTTGCATAAACCAATTGCTAAATCAAAAGAAGAAGAAGAAATATTAAATGATGAAAATGTATTTCAACCTAGAAAACAACGAAATAGAGGAAGACCAAGAAATACATTGCAAACAATGCTTTCAACGACACCTTATATACAAGGACGACATATGATAGATCCTCGATCAACAATGAAAAGAGAAGATGGACATTTAATATGCAAAGTATGTGGAAATGTAATAAATGAAGGTGAAAATCCGTTATTAGTTGATTCTAAATTAAGTTTTGGTAAGTTTATTTATTAAGAAAATAAAGAAATAAATCGTAATTTATTATTTAAGCGGCTGATACAGCACGATCTTCAGAAACAGCATCTGTTGCAGTTGATGATTGGTTTGAAACAGGTTCAGCTGCATCTAGTTCACGACAAACAAGCCCCTGGAAACCAGATGAATCAATACCATTACCATTTGGTTCAAGTACATTTCGACGAAATCTTTTTCAACCAATTAATGATAATCATACAGATACAAAAGGACATCAATCACCAGTACAATCTTCGATTATTGATAGTGATGCAACAAAAATACGACGGCCATCTTCATCACGTATGTCTGAATCAGGTGTTTTTGCAAGATCCCCTGAAGTAAAAATACGTCGTCCATCAGCATCACGAAGTATACCATCACCAGTAACAAAAAAACATCATTCGGATACAGCCTCTGGAACAAGTCATGAACTCAAACAATCATCACCTTTAACAACAACAACAACAACAACAACGAATGATCGAAGAATGTCAGGTTGGAGTGTACGTGAACCTTCACCTGATAATACAGACGAAAATTAATAAGATTAAATCTATCTGCTTTATGTGTTAATATAGTTTTTTGAAGTGAAATAAAAGTTAATTAATTATCTTGTACTACACCTTTTTGTAAGTGATCTATCACTTTATTATTCAATAATCGATTATACAACAGTAGGATGAATAATTCTATTATGCATTACATCTTTCTGTTGAATGAAATACGATATTTTCTTTTTCGCCGAGATACACATACTCATATTTTACTTTAGATTTGATTAAGAAAAAAAAACATGAGATTATAGCTTTTTTTTAATTTTATGTATTTTTGTTTTTACTCTCATTCAAAATATCAGCCAATGGTACAAAAAAGAAAATCAAATACTAAACAAAAACATCAAAAATAATACATCGGTTCAAATAATTTACATATTCCTAAATTATATACAGTAACAATAGATATAATCACATGAAATCAGACTTTTGTTTCGGGTCCTGTATTCATATGCACAAATGAATTTCGAAGTTTTAACATTGATCGAGTTAACATTGGACCATAAGCTTTTGTATACCATTCATGTGAACGTCCCATTAAATCAACACGACTTAAATGTATAACTTTAGATTTTCCACATCCTAAATCATAAGAATATTTTCGTATAGAAATAAAAACAAAAACTTAATTTACCATATGATTGTATTAAATATCGTGATGCTAATGTCACTGCACGAACTAAATGAATCGAAAAAACAAAATTCAAATCTAATTTTAATTCAATTTATTAAAATATACCAAGCGTAGGTGGACAATGTGCTTTTGAATGTTCAATAGATGTACAAACAAGAACACAAGTTTCTTTTTGGTGATTATTTTGTGTAGATATAAACGATGCAATAGCACTTGAAGATGCTGATAATGACGAGCCAACCGGAAGATTTGTTGATGATACATTATTTTGATAACTACCATTGGAATTTAATTGAATATTTGTTCTCCAACTACGTACTTCACAAAAATATCGAGATGCTAAAGGAGCCTATGAAAACAAAAATATGATCGTTCAAATTTTAATTGAACTATATGAAGTATTTACCATTGAATTAATTGTATATTGATATACATGAGTATTACGATTTAATTTTTCAATAATAGTTCCAGATTGAAAATCTAGAATTGAAAAATATAACAAGGTCGTACGGATATTAATCTTAGCAAAAAATAGAAACCTACAAAGACAATTTTTCATCAATAATCTGAAGCTAAAAATAGTATATTCTGATTCTGTCGGAAGCCGATATATGATTCTTCTCAAAGGTTAATGCCGATGTCTTATTATTAATGAGAGAGTGCACTTTAAAAATATAACTTATTTCATCGGAAAAAAAACATCTTCAATACATACCATCATCCCATAAATGTCTTTCATTTAAAAGTCGATTAAGAATTTCAATGGGTGGTGCTTCAATTTCTACTGAACATTTCCATAGACCAAGTGGATGTCCATCATCTAATTTTTTAAATGCTAATTCAATTTCATTATTTTTTCCAAATGATGTCCATCCTTTGAATTTTGTACAATGTGCTTCACGTATAACTTCAACTATACAACGATCAATAAAACCTTGATAGGATGTATTTGCTTTTGTTTTGATTGTTTTAAAATAATTATTATTATTGTTATTATTCATATTATGAAGTATATTATCACAGGATGATGATGATCCAATTGTATCTGATGCTAAGATTTTACCTATTTCTTTCGCACGTTGTTGTGCTGCATGTTTATTTGATGAATGTGGACGTGATTTATTTAAAATAGGACTTGTTATTGTTGTTTCAGAAACACGACGTGATAATTCTTCAAGTGTACATGGTTCACCAATTTCAATATAAGAAAAATGACATGCTTGATGTAATTCCAATGGAACAATAAACAATAATCGGACATGATCAATCATAAATGCAAGAATATCCATTGCTTTACGTTGATCTTCAATTTCTTTAAAATCAGGCATACCACTTGATGAACTTTTATTATAATTCGGAAAGGAAAATAATGTTGGAGTAAAACATGTAGCAAGATTAACTGAACTCATTTGATTAGTTTTTGAATGTTTTGAAACATCATTTAAAAATGATAAAAGTAAATGTAAAACAAGACGATTTTCATCTGGTAAAAGAAGTATAGCATATTGTAATGCAAGTAAACGACGTTCGTTAATTATTTTCAAACGTGTTTTATCGGTGGAAGAAAAATATTCACTTATATGAAGAAATAATGGAGATAATTTGTTTGTAAAAAGACATTCAGGTAGTAAACGAAAATATTGTTTTAAAACGTCTGAAACATCATATGGACTAAATTCATCAAAATGATGAAATTCAATATCAGATTCCATTAAATCATGAAGACGTTTTATACGATGAGATACACCGCTATAAATAACAAAAAAAAAGAAAATTTTTAACTAACAAATCTAAATCCGTACTATTATGCAATAGTATATAGAATATACAATAGAGTATAATTTATTTAGTTAATAGTTTTTTTTATTAAGATAAAGGATTCATCGTATGTTCTGTTTGTTACCATTATTACAATATGCAATTAGAAACCTTCAAACCATGACTATCAAAATAAACGATGTTTATATCATCTTTCTGTTATTTGACTCTCTTTCTTTCTCTCTCTGTCTCTCCTATGGCCACAACATCATTATAGTCAAGGTTAATATAGAGATAAGAAGATCAAGTATCTATATTGAAAAAAAAAATTGTTTATTTTTTCTATTGACTTACGGCTTGCGAAAGATTCCTACACTATCAATAGATGTACGTCTTAAATATTTCATTGCAGAAAGAATCGTTGTTGGCACTGGATGTCCAGTACGTTGCGTCATGGATAGAAAAGAAATACCAAATATTACTTTTTTCATTTCCTGATGAATATCCTACACAAAATTAAAAAAAAACAATCAGTCAATCAATTTATCAACAGATTCTAGACCTTTCGTTGTTGATGTCGTCGGATAATTAATTTTGGTACAGCACTAAAGGCAGTAGCAAGTAAACGTTGTCTTGATACAACTGTTCTATTAACTAATGTTGGTTTATTTATAGGTAATAATATTCGTGTTGTATCAAATAATTCTTCTATACGTATTAAAGCTGCACGACGTAATGCTAATAATTGACCAACAGACATTTGTCCTAAATGATATTTTGATGAATTAAAACTTGGACGATGTGTCTTTGTAAATGAATGCCATTTAACACGTATTTTACGACTAGTCGGTAGACGTGATGATGTATTTGTTATATTACTAGCTAATGAAGAAGATGATGATGATGATGATATTGATCGATTTATATTCTTAATTAATACAGTAGAATCAATTTGTCTTTCAACACTACTAGCACCAAGACCTGAATCTTGTCGATCTGTTGATGAACGTTTATCATCATTAGATGAAGCTGATGTTGGTGAACGATCTTCAACAATTAATGGTTCACTTAAATATCCAAGTGGTGCTGGAACATTATCATAAAATGAAAGACGTGTCCAATCATAGATATGAAAATGACGACGTGCAAGAAGTGTTGCTTGATATGATGATGATGATGATTTTCTTGAATTACGATTATTATCAGATGGAATAAGTAAAGGAAAATGTTCCATTTGATCATCACAGATTGGTGATACACAATTAGTTGTTTTATCAATAGTCATAGCCTAGACAGATAAATAGATATGTTTTGTTTTTTGTGAAGTAATATATTCAAGGTAAAAAAAAGAAAAAGTAATTATTAAAGTATTTTAATAACCTCAAAAATAAAGGCGAGAAATTTCATTTCACGCAATATTGGGTTTTTTTTCGACAAGACAAAACAAATTACATGTAACTTTAGTATTTAATGCTTACAGAAAAATTTTCATCAATAGTCAATGAACCAGTCGTAGTAGTTGACACTGTTACCGGTGTTGTTGACGTAGTTAGTCGATATTGTTCATGATGCCTATTAATTGGTTTATTACGATGAATTCTTAATTTGACTTCATTTGTTTCATTTTCCGGACTATTACGTTCAGGTTCTTTTGTTGAATAATGTGATAATTCATGATGATAATAATGATGTGATTTTAATACAGATGGAAGAAAAAGTGGTTTAGTAATTATCAACTCCATTGAACCATCACTTGAAGTGATCATCTAAAATAAAGAATATTTATTATATGAGACAAATTCTTTCTTTCGGCGGTTTCTTTTCTTTTCTTTTCTTTTCTTTTCTACAGTAAACATCGATACAAAATTAGTTCAACAATCTTCTTCCATTTTGTCTTGAATCTATGTGTGTGTACGTGCTTGCATGCAGAGCGCTTCTTTTTCTCCCCCCTCACTTACGCGTTTGCACGCGCAGACATACGCCCGCATATTAAACGAGGTCACTATAATATTCCACGGTACTACATATATACATACGATTGTAACAATGATGAAAAGATGTTGTTCGAACATTTATATATGGAAACTGCGAACATCTTATACAACTCTTTTCTTCCCACTCTTGTCAGTCTCTTTTTCTTTTTTTCTCTCTATTCACTAGGTGCTATATGTCATTGAGAATAACGACAATGAATAAGACACATGTAATCAAGGACAACTCTCTTCACAAGTATACGCATCAAAGCTCATCTCAATCGAGTCATTTTTCTTCTTTTTATACGATAAGATGACGACGATTACTACTTAGTAACACTAAATCGAACGTTCACTAGGAAACATATGTAAATCTATTTCTTATTTATCTATTAGATTTTTTTTTGTCTAATAAAATAAATAAATCCTGTTACTAAATTAAAATTTGCATCAATAAACTAGTTAGTAATACAAATTTTCTTCTTTCTTCAATCATATATTATATAAATAGAGTTGTCGAGAATAACAATATAACCGACTAATAATATATAACGAAAAAAAAAAAGAAATAATGAAGCGAACCACTTGAGGCAACTTCTACAGCTGCTGTTTAACCGGTGCCAGTTTGTATGTCTTTCGTGATTGCCCGAACAAAATTACACCCACCTATGTTCCTTCCAATGTGTGATGTCTAATTTGATCTTTGTCTGTCTGCTTAATAGAAGACAAGAAAGAGATTATTGTATGAACATATACATATGGCGTAATATACAATTATTATTTATTGATACGCACACGCATACATCGGTTCATCGATGACGATGACGACAACAATATGACCACGAACGAGGATTATATGAATATATATATTTATATATATATATATGTATACACATAGGAAGAAGAAGTAAAAAAGGGAACATTTGAGCGAAACGATCGTATAATGTTGCGCAATCAACACTATTTGAATGCTTTACTGTATATATATATATACAGAGAATCAATGATGATGTGTATACATATACATTTTACACATCATGTATAAATATGTGTATATATGTTATTTATATCGGTTACTATATAGCATTAATGATAGTTGATTGATCGGTTTAGTCTTCTTTGAAGATGATGTATATTACTCACCTACGGGAGCTTCTTTCTCTTTCGTAGATAGGTATACTTTTGATATGAGAACACAAGTGTGCGCGCGTATTGAATAACAACGACGAATCAATGTAAAAAAAAAAAAAGAGGAAAAAAATATTGTAACGATAAGAGACAAGAAGGAAAAAAACGTGCTTGAGGTGTAATATAACGATTACAAACAGAGCAGCAGAATTGCTGATTCATGCGCGAAAAGAGAAAAACGAGAGAGAGAGAGAGAAGGAGAGGAGAAGAAGGAGCAAGCAAAAGAATCGAGTGGGAGACAACAAGAATATACTGAAAAAAATACATAAACAGATATGTTTTAGAATACTTTAACTCACTAAAAATTTAAATGACTAATATATTTTTTTTTTGAAAATTCCTATATTATCAGTAAAAATTGTTTCACAGGGTTTTATAAAACAATACAGAATACGTAAATGTCCTTCTGACCTTTTGAATCAATGATATAATTGTTCAAATAAAATTTTAATGTAATAAATAATTTATTTGATAAAATAACTAAGACTTTATGTTCGAATAATTGTCAATTTATTGCTCGACTTAATTAATGTTTACGCACGATGTCATTTGAAAATGATGATTGCATGCGTATTGACGTCATCGATAGAACAGCAAGCTGGATGGATGAATACACAAATTATTAATTAGAAATATCAATAACAAAATTTAAAATAAAAAAAAAAATTTTGATTTTTTTTTTACAAAACTAAATTTTTGTTATTTTATAAACTATACTTTAATTAATCTATTATAAATAACGGAGAATTTGTTTCTTACTTAGTTGCCCTTAGGAAGAAAAATGGCATTTCTTTATTGTTTTTATATCTACTAGCATAGAACAGCTGGTTGTAATGATTAGATCGTTCATCTCAGTGAAATAGTATCAAATACAAGGTTGATTATCCAAGCATGAGTTATGTGAAATAAAAGTATGAAGAATTATTTTGTTTATAAACTAAGGTCATTATTATTATTGTAGTCAAAAAGAAAAAAAGATTGTTACTGTCTAATTATTTATGTATACTTGTTATAATAAGCTTAAATAAAATATTTATATAATAAAACATACTTTTTTTTGTTCTATTAGGATAAAAATATAAATATGAAGTTTTTAATACTTATTTATCGTCGTTTGTCAATACATTTTTTTATTCTAATCAATAAAACATCATGATTATCAAGAAAGAGCTATGATCTATTATGATAATCAGCTTACCTAGTAGTCGACAGTTCTTTAGGAAATATTCAAATATTCTATTATCAAAAATAGAGACTATTATCGGAATTTTTAAAGAAGATAGGTGGAAGAAAAGCCATATCGACCTGCCGGTTTCATCATTCAATAGAGGGTAGTCGACGCTGCATACCTATGTGTGAAAAATGTTCCCCCAAAGTATCTTTTCAAATTAATTTTAGTAGACGAATCCTTAGAAAAACTAACAAATTTTGCAGGAAAGTGTTTTTTCGTATTATCGCAGTAGTTTTAAATGACTTCGAAGATTTTCTTTTATAACATTTGAAAGAGATCAGTGCGAGCTGTGAAAGCAGCGGAAAAACATTAAAAATCAATTTTATGAAAAATCCTTTTTTAAAATTGGCCATAAATAGTACTTTGGGAAAACATTTCTCATGCCAAGGCATGTGCCCCCAACTGTCCTCTACTGAATGGTGAAAACCGCAGGTCTCTACGGCTTTCCACCAAACAGTTATAGGATTTTCTTCGACCGGCCTTCTTTAAAAATTCCGACAGTAGTTTGAGAATATTATTATGTATAGGTGATTAATTGTATGAGAAAACCGTACTTGTTCATACATACTAATCGATTTTAGCAGTATTCTATACAGAGTTGAAATGAATGGGCATCAGCAAATAGCGAAAAATGAAAATACATGCTCACTAATTAAGAACATCTCTCTAGATTTTGTAATTACTATACACATATGTTTTCGATTTAGTTCTACAGCAAGTTATCCCTTTTGGAAATTTAACCAGCAATAACATATTGAAGTCAAAATATATTAAAAGCAATATTTGTGTGATAGATAATTTTCTACTGTTCTTAAATTACCTTAATATTTTATTTGTAACAAAATTTAATAAGGCTTCAAATTGGGTAAAGTTTGAATTATATTCCATATATCTATTCGAACGACGAGAAAATTTTTATTTCATTACATATGGACAGTTCTTTCTACACTCTCAGACAGGATAATAAATAGATATAATGTCATATAAGATGCTTATCATCGAGGTCTTATAAATCATTGTCTATTTATTAAAATGTATATATATATCTATATATATATCATAGGCAAACTTAAGATTAACTTTATGTTATCAAAAAGACACTAATGTAGTGGAATGAAATTTGACAAATGAAAAACAAGGACTTATAGAATAAATTTAATTAGATATCTGTTTTTCTACATAAAAAAAAACGTGAAAAATAAAAAGCTTAGAAGAAAATTACAAAGAAACGATGATTAATATTATTATTATTATTATTATTCTATAATTTTGTTATCTTATTCATATCAACACTTTTAGTATCATAATAAAAAAATTTGAGGCAAATATCATAAAATTTATTTTGTATTAGTTTTACAATCATGAGAAATATCAATTTTAGGTAATTACGATATATGTATATAGGAAACAAATATAATTCATTCTAATTAAAGTTAATATGTCGAACAGTCATTCGACGTTTTTGTGAATTCATTGATGATTGTTGTTTTGTTTTTAAATGTTCATTAACGAGCGTTTGTAATTGCCAATGTTTAAAAACAATTGTTGAATTATTTTTATCAATATTTTTATTTAAGATTTTTTCAAATAATTCTCGAGAATGAATATGTTCGATTAATGTTTGAAAATGTTTGAGAAGAAAATCAAATATCCATTGTATATTTAATTGAAATAATGTTGATTGAGAACCATAGTTCATTTGTAAAATAGAAGGAATTTTTTCTTGAAGAATAGTTTCAATATCTTTATTTGTTGTTTTTAATATTAAATCTATTAAATATTTTTCTTCAAAATTTGTTAATAATGGTTGACCATTAGCAAAAAGTATTGCCATTGGATTAATTAGATCAGTTTTAGTTTCATTTGAATCCGTAACTAATATATCATGTTTTATTTCGATTTTATCATCTGGTATTTGATTTTCAATATCATCATCTGGTATTTTATTTCCAATATCATCATCAACAATTTTTGGTTCAGCAGGTTTTACAGGTGAAGGTATTTCTGGTGATAGCTGACGCATAGGAATTTTTTTTGCGATCACTCTACCAGTCTTTCCTCGCATTTTTATTGTATCTAAAATAAACGAGGATTATCCGTTAAACTGTATTGTGTTTGATTTATTTAAAATGACTATTATTGTCATAAAGCATGGAGATAGTTAGTCATCGGTGACCTTATCATTTTCTTTCTTTTCTTTTGTTTGTTCTTCAACTTTGAACACGTTGAATAACGAAAAAAATAGATAAAGTATGACTAAAGACTTTTATGTAATTTAAAACAACATATTTGCTTAACTGATTTACTTTATTTACAACATTTTTTTTCATTGATTAGCTGTTTCTTGATTATTTATATTAACCCGGAATAGTTATGTGATAATTTCAAAAAGATAATATCAATAATAAATAGACTGTTGAATAGATGTATGAAGATATTAAAAAGCGATTTTAACATAGAATTATTCATGAAATTGTAAGAATCTAATATAAATTATTGAAATAATTGCTCTGGATAACCTTGATTTTCAGACCAAATAAATTCATCTTAGTCTTATTATTTTCATAGCCTTCTCATTAATTTTATATCATAAAAATTAAGCTTAATATAGAGTTTCAATATTACTAAATATTCGTAATTTTTCAATACTAGGTATCAGATTCTGTTAATCTTAAATGCAAATAAATTCGAATACATAATTTTAATGACTTTCAAAAAATAATACAAGAATAAATTTCATTTGAGTTTATAGATTGATTCTTGTACAAACGTAATATTTTCAAAATCATATACGACCTTCATGTACTTTTATTTCTATTTGTATTTTTTCTGCTAAAAATATTTTATATTAATAATGCTGATTACATCTTTTTCCATTATATTTTTTAATTTCATGAATATTATCACAGTATAGTCTACTGAAACCATGTAATATAGTATATATGTATATACTAACAGCAGAATAATTTAAGCTTAGAAATAAATATTGCGATTTGAAAAGAATTACAATCTTATCTTAAACAAGTACAAAATATCACGTTTGATTAATGACGATTGAAGAAATAATATTTCTTTTTCTATTAAAATGTGTTACTATAATTTGAAGTAATGAAATCTACATGGCTTCTTTTCTTTTTCTGTTTGTTTTGTATGGTAAATCATGAAGAAGAAAAAGTTTAATATTAAAATTATATTTAAATGAAAACATACATGACTCGATATAAAAATCAGTCAAATAAACAAAAAAAAAACGATAGAAAGTAGACAGGTAACATTAATATGTTTGACTTGTATACACTTTTTTGTCGTATCAATATGCAACCACAATTACCTTTACCTTGAAAATATTTGTCACGCATCATTGGGTAATGTATTCTTATCTACTTCCTTTTTTTAACTATGCTTGTTTACCTGACTTTCCAACACAGTTTGGATTTTTCCCCGTTAGTACATTCTATCAATAATGCCTACTGTATATAACTAATGCATTGACATCAGATACGTATCATTTTTATACCTATAACACGATTAAAACCATATAGACAAATACTCATGGCTGTCAATAAAGTTGCTGAACAATTACCATCTTGTGCTACAGTTTTTATCAAACGACTTGCGAAACGTATACCAATGACAGAAATACATGATACTATTAATACGCGACATGTTTTAAAACCAGCATTAAATTGGTATCTAGTAACTGGTATAGGTCTTGGTGGTATTATTGGTGAGTGAACTTAAAAATTATATATATAGTGTGAAATGTATTTATCTTCTCTGTAGGTTCAGGAATATTTAACTTAAGTGGAACAGCTGCTGCAGAATATGCTGGTCCATCAGTAATTATTTCGTTTATTGCTTCTGGTATTGTCGCTTTTCTTGCGGCTTTATCATTTGCTGAATTAGCGGCGATGATGCCTCTTTCTGGTGCAGCCTATACATATACTTATGCATGTTAGTTCTTTTTTATATTTTTTATTCACTTTTATGAACATCTATTTTTTTTATTATAGCTCTTGGAGGTATACAATCAAAAATTAATGTTATAAAAAATGTTTTTTTTTGTTCTTCTTTGCAGAATATGCAGCCTGGTTTATTGGATGGAATTATGCACTTTTTTATCAATTAGCTGCTTGTACTGTAGTAGTTAGTTGGAGCAAATATGTTACCCATTTTATTTACGTTGTGTCTGATTATAATTCAACGAACTCGCTGATTCAAGCACCAGTAGCATGGAGTGACGATACACAAAGTTTTTCTGTTACTGGCGGTGCAATTAACTTACCTGCAATTTTTATTACTATTGCTATTACAGTTCTTCTTATTAGTGGAATTTATGCAACAGCTATAGTCAATTTTGTGTTGGTAGTAATCAAAATTATTATTCTATTGATATTTCTATTTGCAACTTGTAAATATGTAAATGTTGATAATTACAAACCGTTTATTCCATCAAATCAAGGTATATATCATTATTTGATTACTAAATGTAAGAAATGAATGCTTTGCATTCCATATCTTAGGTTCGTTTAATCAATACGGAGCATCAGGTACCGCATATGCATGTACATACGTCTTCTTTGCTTATGTCGGTTTTGAATCAATTGCAACAGTAGCTGAAGAAGCAAAAGAACGAACAAAAACACTACCATATGCAACTATAGCATCGATGCTAATCTCATTTCTAATCTATATAGGAATTTGTACTGTTATGGTTGGACTTGTACCATACCAATCTCTAAATATAGACGATCCTCTTTCTGCTGCATTGTAAGTTATTATTGATACACTATAACAGTTTTAACATAAATTTTATAATTTCTATAGAAAGGCTACACCGTATGGTGTTTGGTTACCGGCTCTTATGGATTTAGGCGCTATTGCTAGTCTTACAACTGTGGCACTGACGGTCTTGCTTTCACAAACTCGAATATTTTATGCAATGGCTAAGGATAATTTATTACCATCCTTCTTTGCTAAAACTTATTTTGGGACTGAAACTCCATGGGTTTCTACAATCATTAGCGGTATATAATCTATTATAAAAAATTAATTGTCAGAAAGATTTTATTTTTACTGTTTAGGCATATTTTGTGCTGTTTTTTCGGGTATTTGTCCAGTAAATATTATTAGTGAAGCGTCATCAGTTAGTGCTCTATTTATATACTTGTTTGTACATATTGAGGTTCTAGTTGTAAGTCCAATGCAATCGATTCTTTCATTTTTTTTCTAACTGAAATGTCTTTTATAGATGCGTTGTACTTATACACATAAAGGTTTGCAACGACCATTTCAAAACATAATTGATCCAAACCTTATTGCAGTAGTAGGTGGAATACTTTGTATACTCTTTTTAATACCTACAAAACAAGTAACATGGTTTCAATTTCTTGCTTGGACTGCAATAGGTCAAGTTTTTTACTTTTGCTTCGGATATTGGAATTCTACGAGACGACAGCCACAACGACTCGATTCAATTAATAGTGCAGTCGAGCTTGTATCGACAATAGAGTCTGTTTCAAAAAACTATCCAAATAGTGAATTTGAATCAGATTCAAACAACAATGCAAATAGTGAATCTGAATCAGATTCGGACAACGAAGCAACTGACGTCATAATTGACAATACAATTGATGATACAGTCATAATGAGGTTTTGATATTAATAATAACGTATTTCCGTAAAAAAATATTTACATTCGTCTAAAGATGAATTTAGAATATAGATAGTTATATTGTTCAATATATGAAATATTTCATGTTTTGTATATATATTTTTGTATTGGATTTAATCTTTTGTAGAGTATATATCATAATAATATTATTTATTGAATAAAATATTAGAAAAGTTGTTATTTATTTTACAGTTTTGAATGTTACTCTTTTATAAAAATATGTTTTTCTATTGAAGAAACGAGATGAATATTGCAGATTGAGATTTATATTGATAGATAATAATAAGCGTTTTGAAGCTTTTTAAATATCAATTAACATAGTACTAAAACATGAACATGAAATATTGTGTAATTTCAAATAAAAATATTTTATAACCATGAGGTATCTACTTTACTCTCGATTACAGTATTCCTCTGAATTTTGATAAGATATTGAAAGAATATAAATACATTTCCTATCATATAACAAAAGTTTGTTTCACAGTTAAGTATCGATTTTCTTTCATTTAGATTTTAACTCATAAAGGTAAATATCTAACTTTGTACAACTCTTTTTTTGCAATAAAGTGTAAAACTATTCTTATTCCTTTCTTTATTAAATTCAGAGACAACACACTATTACTTACATTTACTAAATAGTTATGAAACAGTGATTCTTTTTGTCTTTATTTCTTTGATGTAACTAATATTAGTTTTTTTTATATAATCAATAAAGAAAATAGAATCGAAAAAATATTTTTAATGTGTAACTTATAGTATCATTCAACATTCTAATAAAGTTTTATAGTATATAAGAATATTTCAAAAGCGTCAGAGTTCGGTGTAATGGAATTAAAGCAAAATAAATTTCTATTTCGACATTTATGTGTAGTTATCAAGAAAAAAACCTAATACACACTATTTTCTTCATAGATTAATTCCTGCGATAGAAAATTTTTATTATGAAAAAACAGCAGTAATAAATATAATAATCTTCTGATTAAATGGAAGTCCGAAATCAATCAAATAAAATCAGCATGTGTCATGTAACGAATAATTGACATCTTTGATTAACCTTATTTTGTTATAATTTAAAAATAAATATGATATTTTAAAGATTGTAATCGTGTGTCATAATACAATCATTAGTTTATTTTATGATGAATTCAATCATGCAAAAAGTCATATTTCTTTCTACTGAATTAATATTGATATAACACAATACGATTTGATACTCGAGGCAATTTTTCATTTCTTTAGGGATAAAAAAACAAAACTGATACTTTTCTTTTTCGAAAAAGAAATAAAAATGTTTTTCATCAGTTCTATCGTTTATTGTATGAAAATCAAATATTTACCTCCTACTTGATTTTCATACAAGCAGAAACAAGGGTAACACAAAGAAATATTTAAACATATATAGACAAAAAATACCACCAACTGGTAGATGCAAGCAACATTAAATATACAAAATATAAGGGGCTCGCTCACGAGGTAATACGGTTTCTCTGCTTGAAGTCTGTTCTCTGGCATTCATATTTATGCATGATTTCATCTCTTTCAAAATTACGATTTTCAATTGATGTCGTATTCTTTGCCATATTTACTTCCTTCTTTTCTTTCTTAACTTTATACAAATATAGTAACACATGATGTGCATTATTATTATATATACATATATATATATTAGCCACATCTTAGAATCCAGACAGGTATCCTACTTCTCTGAAATATAACAATGTCAGACAACACATCTTTCAACAAAAATTCAAGTTCACAATCAAAACATCGTGTTTCTCGGCAAGTATTATGGTCATGCAAGTCATTTGCAAAACAACTCATTGCACGGAAACCAATGAAAGATATACAAATCGAAATTGAAACAAAAAATGAAATGCGACGTACATTAAATTGGATACAACTAACTGGAATAGGTCTCGGTAGTATTATTGGTATGTTAAACTAATGCTACAACTACATTTTCATAACTATTCATCTACGTTTTAGGTGCAGGAATCTTTGTAACAAGCGGACAAGCAGCGAAAGAATATGCTGGTCCATCAGTGATTATTTCTTTTTTTATTGCTGGTATTGTTGCTCTTCTAGCAGCTTTATCATTTTCAGAAATGGCAGTAATGATGGCTAGTTCAGGATCTGCATACACTTACACTTATGCAGGTTAGTTACTAATTATATTCAATTCTTGACCTCATCAATATTTTTTCTTTATTATTTTAGCCTTAGGAGGTATGTTCAACTATTACTTTATTTCGAAAATCTTGTTTTAAAATTGTTGATTATTTTTCTATAGAATATTGTGCTTGGATTGTTGCGTGCAATTTAATTTTAATCTATCAATTGGCAGCGTCTACCATAGTAGTCAGTTGGAGCACCCGTGTTGTTCATTTTGTTGGTCTTGTGTCCAATTTAAATATATCAAACGTATTTATTCAAGCACCATTGGTTGCACATAAAGATACGATAGATATTACAGTTACTGGAGATGTACTAAATTTACCAGCAATTGGAATTACTATTGCTATTGCAATTCTTCTTTTTATTGGAATTCGTCAGACAGCAATCATTAATTTATTGTTTGTCATTTTCAAAATTATTACACTATTAATATTTATATTTGCTTGTTGTAAATATGTTAATACTAGTAATTACTATCCATTCATTCCTTCAAACAAAGGTATCTCTTACTTTCATGTTACTTATAACAAATAAATATATATTTTTATTTAAATTTAGGCTCGTTCGATCTGTTCGGTATAACCGGTACGCTGAAAGGAGCAACAATTGTTTTCTTTGCTTATGTTGGATTCGAATCAGTAGCAACTGCAGCTCAAGAAGCTGATAAACCATCACGAACACTGCCTATTTCTCTCATTGGTTCTCTTGTTATTTCAATGCTAATTTATTTGGGTGTTAGTACTGTTATGGTTGGACTTATTCCATACAATTTAATAGACGAAGATAATCCACTTACTGATGCAATGTAAGTTATTAGTAATGTAATAGAGAAGATATATTATATGTGTTGTAATTGATATAGAAAAGCTACACCTTATGGTCTTTGGTTATTGATTATTATGGATCTAGGTGCTATTGCAGGTGTCACAACTGTAGCATTAACTATTTTACTTTCACAAACTCGTATATTTTATGCCATGGCTCACGATGGTCTATTGCCACCAATATTTGCTAGAATACATTCTCGTACTAAGACACCATGGATTTCGATACTCATTAGTGGTATACATCCTATTTTATTCACTACATTTGTTAGCTAATCTCTCTTTCTAGGTACTGTTTGTGCTGTAATAGCTGGTATATGTCCGGTCGATATTCTCGGTGAAACTACTTCAATGAGTGCCTTAATTATATACTTTTTCGTGCATGTTGATGTTATTGTAGTAAGTTAAATACGTTTGTATATAAGTTGATAATTTAAAATTCTACTTTATAGATGCGTTATACACATTCTGATATGCCAAGAACATTTCAAGTGCCATTGGGCAAGTGGCTAATACCAACAGTGGGAGCTCTCTTGTGTCTCCTACTTTTACTGTATACACCAAGGGCTACCGGCATCCGAGGTGCTATCTATTTGGGAATTGCGCATATTATTTATTTTTCATATGGCTTTTGGCATTCTAAGAGACGACTACGAATAAGACAAGAATCAATAACTGATCGTACTGTAGATCTTCCAACAGTAGAAAATATATACATGGATGCTATATACACTGATCCTGAAACAAACTCAATCGAAGAAACCACAGCATAACAAATATTGAATTCATAAAGAAATACTCTTTAGTATATTTAACTTCTTCGGAAATATTTAAACATAGCTTTTAGAAAATTGCAAGTAGTACTATGTTCTACTTTAAACATAAGTGTTATATTACTAATTAGTCGTTGAAATGAAATAAAGATCATAATTGAAAGTACTTATATTTATACATTTTGTTCTATATGATATTGTGAGCATTGCTTCATATCATTTGTAGAGTTCATAGATATTCAGTTTATAATGTATGATATTTGTAATTGATTTTCTAAAAGATAAGATCTCGCTACTTTATACTGATATCGATATCAATATCTTCGTCAATGGCAGAATATATTTTTTTCTACTAATCGTATTACAAAAAAGAATGTAATAACAGATATCGGAACATAATATAGTGTACTACAATAATACTTTTCTTATTCTACAAATGGTGACTTGTGAGAATGAGTATTGTGATCATTTTTTTTGAATAGATTTTAAATACCAAGACCATTTTTAATGTTTGTGTTGAGTACATTAAAAATTCCAATGTTCATTTTGATTGATTTTAAAGATAGTATGTTTTTGTAATCGAAAGAGTGTGAGTGTGAATATTGTCGTCATGTCATACTCGAACTAACCCGCTATTCTGCTATTTTGTTAAAGAGATAAACCGCCTAAACTGCTAATGCATCTTATACCTACACTGAATTTTATGTAGACAATTGGTATAGTTTGAAATTGCCGCAAGATCAAATTTCTCTTAAACTCGCTAAGAAACTGTTCATAGTATCGGACCTAGATTGTTAATGATGAAATTCTGTATCTCACAGTGAACCAAAGAAAGTTCAATAAATTAAAATGAAATATTATCTCTGGTTGTATTAGACTTGAAGTTCTATTGATATTCATAATTTATCCAACATTTAGATTATATTTTTGAAAAGATTTATTTATTTCAAATGATTTTGAATTACTAATTAAATATGAGGCGTTCTATATACGTTTAAAATGGCAATGAGAGTTCGGATGAATTAAAACTTCAAGCTTAACATTAGATTTTAGTTAGATGATGGTAAAGCTATTTTCTTCGGTTATACTGATTGACAAAATTCTCTTTACATGGGATACCTTCCTATAATGAGAAAGTTTAAATTGTCTTAAGCCCGTTTTAATACATATATTATTGAGATTTCCCTCTTATAGTATCTATCCTGCTGCCATTCTACGACATTCTCTCTAAAACAATGAGATGATTGATGTTACTCGTATTCATATAAATTTCCATTGTCTGCTCTCTAATCAACGCATTTCTTTTTATCTCATAGATGACGTTCTTGACACAATAAAAGAAGATTATGTGATACATATAACTTTACTATTTATAATTATTGGTATTTAAAGATTACGTAAGCTTCTATTAGATGAATACTATAATATACTAGTCATACACAATGAAAAAATGTATAGAATATTGTAAAATGTTGTTGTATGTCGAGACACTTGACATTGAAGTATCCTGTTAAATCTCAGAATGAAACCATTGCTGAAGAAGAGTATCTTTATTTCGTAAGTACTTCCTCAACGTGAGTAGACTAGTTTGTTAGATCTTATCACTACCACTGGCAAGGTTAACACAATGTCCAATGCCAGACTCTGACGTGCATTATTGATGTCATATATGGTTTAATTGCTATCCCCTCGTCAATTGAATCTGGCATTCAACCACTATAATGTAACGGCTAGTTTTCAAAATCATATTGTATATATATTGTCGTACATATTATATACTACCGAAGAAATATTCTAAAATACCCTATGAAAAATACGAATTAGAATAGCATATGACTCGAAACATTAGAAAATTTATCACGTCTCGTCGTTGAAAACTAAAGGAAAACATTGTCAAAACCTCATAAAATCCAGATTCATCCTAAGAAGTATAGACGTATCCTGAATTTCTAAGCGAATATCAGCAAAAACACTCGAATCCTCTGCTACCTTTACTTCCGTCGCGAAAAGTCATGTCTTTCTATTGGATGAATGCTAATATAATACAATACAATATGGATTAATACGCGGAACATTTTTTTTATTTCCACAGTTATAAAAACAAAATTGGTACTTTTCTTTTTTAAAAAATAAATAAAAATGTTTTTTTATTAACTGTACAGTTTGTTATATGAATATGAAGTATTTACTACTACTTGATTTTCATACAAGTTGAAACAAAGGTAATATGAAGAAAACTTTTAATATAAATGTATCAAAAAATACCGTTAATCGGTAGATGTAAGCTACATTGAATATAAAAAATAATAAAGAGACCCCGGTGCGAGCTAGAATAATTTTCTATTTGAAGTATGTTCTTTGACATTCATATTGCTGCATGATTTCATCTCTTTCAAAATTACGATTTGCGATTGATACAATATTTACTTCCTCTTTTCTTCCTCAACTGTATACATACATATATATATATACTAAAGACGTCTTAGAATCCAAGCAGGTATCCTACTTCTCTAAAATATAACAATGTCAGACAACACATCTTTCAACAAAAATTCAATTACACAATTAACACGTCGTGCTTCTCGGCAAGTATTATGGTCATGTAAGTCATTTGCAAAACAACTCATTGCACGGAAACCAATGAAAGATATACAAATTGAAATTGAAACAAAAAATGAAATGCGACGTACACTAAATTGGATACAACTAACTGGAATAGGTCTTGGTAGTATCATTGGTATGTTAAACTAATGCTACAATTACATTTTCATAATTATTCATCTATGTTTTAGGTGCAGGAATCTTTGTAACAAGTGGACAAGCTGCTAAAGAATATGCTGGTCCATCAGTGATTATTTCTTTTTTTATTGCTGGTATCGTTGCTCTTCTAGCAGCTTTATCATTTTCAGAAATGGCAGTAATGATGGCTAGCTCAGGATCTGCATACACTTACACTTATGCAGGTTAGTTACAAATTATATTCTTTTCTTGATTTCACCAGTATTTTTCTTTTTTTGATATTTTAGCCTTAGGAGGTATGTTTGACTATTGATTTATTTCGAAAATCTTGTTTTAAAATTGTTGATTATTTTTCTATAGAATATTGTGCTTGGATTGTTGCGTGCAATTTAATTTTAATCTATCAATTGGCAGCGTCTACCATAGTAGTCAGTTGGAGCACCCGTGTTGTTCATTTTGTTGGTCTTGTGTCCAATTTAAATATATCAAACGTATTTATTCAAGCACCATTGGTTGCACATAAAGATACGATAGATATTACAGTTACTGGAGATGTACTAAATCTACCAGCAATTGGAATTACTATTGCTATCACAATTCTTCTTTTTATTGGAATTCGTCAAACAGCAATCATTAATTTATTCTTTGACATTATTAAAATTCTTGCATTATTAATATTTATATTTGCTTGTTGTAAATATGTTAATACTAGTAATTACTATCCATTCATTCCTCCAAACAAAGGTATGTCTTACTGTCATATTTTTTCTAACAAAGAAATGTATATTTTTGCTTGAACGTAGGCTCATTTAATCAGTTTGGTATAACAGGTATGCTGAAAGGATCAACAAGTGTTTTCTTTGCTTATGTTGGATTCGAATCAGTAGCAACTGCGGCTCAAGAAGCTGATAAACCATCACGAACACTACCTATTTCTCTCATTGGTTCTCTTGTTATTTCAATGTTAATTTATTTGGGTGTTAGTACTGTTATGGTTGGACTTATTCCATACAATTTAATAGACGAAGATAATCCACTGACTGATGTAATGTAAGTTATTAGTAATGTAATAGAGAAGATATATTATACGTGTTGTAATTGATATAGAAAAGCTACACCTTATGGTCTTTGGTTATTGATTATTATGGATCTTGGTGCTATTGCAGGTGTCACAACCGTAGCATTAACAATTTTACTTCCACAAACTTGTATATTTTATGCCATGGCTCACGATGGTCTATTGCCACCAATATTTGCTAGAATACATTCTCGTACTAAGACACCATGGATTTCAATACTCATTAGTGGTACAAATCTCATTCTATTCATTATAAACGATAGCTAATCTCTCTTTCTAGGTGCTGTGTGTGCTGTAACTGCTGGTATATGTTCAGTGGATATTCTTGGTGAAACAACATCGGTCGCTGCTCTAATCACATACTTTTTCGTACATGTCAGTGTTATTGTAGTAAGTTAGATATTTTTGTATATAAATTGATGCTCTAAAATTCTATGTTGTAGATGCGTTATACGCATTCTGATATGCCAAGAACATTTCAAGTTCCATTGAGCAAGTGGCTAATACCAACAGTGGGAGCTCTCTTGTGTCTTCTGCTTTTGACGCATACATCAACGCCCGTTGGTATTCGAGTTGCTATCTTCATGGGAATTGGTCACATTATTAATTTTTCATATGGCTTTTTGCATTCTAAGAGACGACTACGAATAAGACAAGAATCAATGACTAATCTCACCGCAGATCTTCCAACAGTAGAAAATACATATATGAATCATGCATACACTAATTTTGAAACAAACTCAATCGACGAAACCACAGCATAACAAATATTCTTAAATATATTTAACTTCTGCAGAAATATTTAAACAGCTTTTAAAAAATAACAAGTAACACTATGTTCTACTTTAAACATATGACAATTTTATATTTACTTCTCAGAAATCTGGTCATAATGAGAACTTTAAAATATGTCATATGACAAGTTCTTGAAATAAAGTAAAAATTATGATTGAAAATATTTACATTTACACAGTTTGTTCTCTACGATATAATGACCAATTTTCTGGATAGATTTTAAAGAGAACATGTCTTTATAATTGAAATATAATTAATAAATTATGTAGATTTATTTTTGTAAACCATTTCGTTATCTATATCTCTAGGGATTGACTTCTGAAATGGATTGAAAAGTTTTTAGCCTGAAAATCGCTTCTCCCTATATATCCTAGCACTAATGATACAAACCAATCATCTGACAAACACAAGTAAAATATAAAAAGATGGAAGTTATATATTTATTATAATCTGAAAATATCTTTTTTTCAGAAAACAAAAACCAATAGTAAGAGTTGATTTGATTAAACCATATCTTTCGGATTCACATATTTATTAAATTCTTCTTCTGTTAAATATCCAAGAGTCAATGCTGATTCGAGTAATGTTGTTCCTTCTTTATGTGCTTTCTTTGCAATCGCTGCTGCTTTATCATAACCAATATATGGATTAAGTGCTGTCACTAAACAGAATATTATTTATTTTCATATAAATAATTCTTTTATATTATTTACCTAACATAAGTGATTCACGCATATAACGTGCTAATACATTCGTATTTGGTAGAATTCCTGAGATACAATGTTCAGTAAATGAATTACAAACATCAGCAAGAATTCTGATTGAATGAAGAACATTTCGAATGATCAATGGTTTAAAAACATTCAATTCAAAATTGCCCATTGAACCACCAATAGTAACAGCAACATGATTACCCATAACTTGTGCAGCTACCATTGTCATAGCTTCACATTGTGTTGGATTTACTTTACCAGGCATAATTGAACTACCTGGTTCATTTTCTGGTAATACCAATTCACCTTAGAAAATAAAATATAAATATATAATCTATCAAAAATATACACTTACCAATCCCGCAACGTGGTCCCGAACCCAAAAGACGGATATCATTTGCAATCTTCACTAATAATAGAAAACAATAATATTTTCGATGAAAAATTCTTAATTTTCTACTTACTTAAACTAACAGCTAATGTATTGAGTGCTCCACTTAATTCAACCATTGTATCATGTGTTGCTAATGCTTCAAATTTATTTGGTGCATCAATAAAAGGTAATTGAGTAAGTTCATTTAAAGTTTTAGCAACAAATTTTCCAAAACCTTTTGGTGTATTTATTCCAGTTCCAACAGCTGTTCCACCAATAGCTAATTCACATAAACGTGTTTGAGAAGTTTTTAATCGTTCAATTCCCATTGCAATTTGATGTGTATAACCAGAAAATTCTTGTCCAAGTGTCATAGGTACAGCATCTTGTAAATGTGTTCGACCTATTTTATAAATCGATGCGAATTCTTCTGATTTCTTTTTTAATTCAGTATGAAGATAAGTCAATGCAGGATATAATCGTCGTTGTAATTCTAATATAGCAGCTACATGCATAGCTAGAATAATATCAATTTACAAAAACAAATTTGTTTATTAAACAGATATTTCTACCTGTTGGAAATGTATCATTTGAACTTTGACTTTTATTCACATGATCATTTGGATGAACAGGTGTTTTACTTCCCATAGTACCACCAAGAATTTGTATTGCACGATTAGAAATAACTTCGTTTACATTCATATTAGTTTGTGTACCTGATCCTGTTTGCCATATACTTAATGGAAAATGATCATTTAATTTTCCAGCAATAACTTCATCACATGCTTGTGATATAGCATTTGAGATTTGATCATCTAGTCCAAATTGTTTGTTTACGATTGCACATGATTTTTTTAATAAACCAAATGCTTCTATTAATGGAAGTGGCATTCGATCTAAGAAAAATTATTTCAAATATAATTTAGAAAAAAAAACAACATATGTTTTGTTTTTACCTGTAGGTAATCCGATATTAAAATAAATCATTGAACGAGCAGTCTGAGCACCATAATAACATTCAGCTGGTACTTTAATTGGACCAAATGTATCTGTTTCTGTACGTGTTTCTCCAGTTAATTCAGGACTATGATGCATTTCTGTGATTTTACTATAATCAATAAAATATTTTCTTTTTTCTAAATATATATGAGTCATTGATATATTTACCTGACTATTTGTTGGTTGGAATGAAAGGTGATGGCGTGAAGAGCAATGAAATCTAACCTTGATTTTATCTTGAAAAAGTATTAGAAAAAGAAATCATATTGATTGGTTATTTATATCATTTGAAAAGAGATAAATAAATGCACACGGATTAACATTTGAGAATGTAACATACAAAACAGTACGAGAAAAAATTGAAAAAATAAGTTAGTTGTCCAATAATGTCGTATACTTATTTAGTATGTTTCAAGACTTAAAACACCTAACGTAACTGTAAGAATTTTTCTTTGAAAAATCTCGTTTTCTATTAATCAATAGCAATAAAACAAAAAGCTCTGATCGGATAGACGATATCTATTTAGAATATAATCGAATAATTCATCTGCTACTAAAACTTCAATTAGTAGTTATTCTTTCGGTATTCAACTGTACTCTTCTTTCCATATGGTGATTTGATTTTATTCTAAGCTCATCCTTGGCTTGAATTGAATAAACTATATTCAATCTTACATAGAATCAAATAGTATCTTTTTATTTATTATCAATGCTTGAAAAGAAAAGCTTCATTGAAGCATTTATTACAAACAACTTTTAAAAATGAAATCTATTTTCTAAATAAAATTTAATGTTCACATAGTGAAAAAGGTCTTTCAAATAGTAATTCGTTATTTTGTGAAATAAAATATTTTCTTTCATTCATTAATTTCTCACGATGTTGTTTTGCTTGATCCATCGTCATCGGAAAATCAACATAACTCATGATTTTGTCAACGACTAAGGAGGGTAATTCATTAAATACAGGCATTGAACGTATAATATCACAATACCAATGAGATTGTTGTGGTGGAATATGTGCAGTGGATAAAATTCGAATCGTTGGATCAACTAAAAAAAATACTAAGATTTTTCGTTGACCCGGTTGAGTTGGATCTTGAAGTTGAAAAGGTGCAACACGATGTTGATAAATATTTGGAAAGACTAGACAACGATTTTCTTGAGTAATTACTTCACCTAATAATTGATTTAAAGGTTGTTCATTCTGTAAACCATAAACATTATTAACACCGTAATGATCATCTTGCTCATAATCCGGTTCACATACAGCAGTACGAAATTGTAAATCTGATTGTGTTATATTCGAATTAAAATAATAATAGATTCCTGTAGCAATAATATGCTCATTTTCCATTCCTTCAATATGCCAAACACCACCGGGATATGTTGGATTTGAAGGTGTCAATATTATATTTGCTAATTTAACAATAATTTGTAGTTTTCTTCCACGTAAATCAATATTTGAGTTTGTTAATGATGGCATATGAAATTCTCCAACATCTGGTTGTATAATTGTTCGATGATGATGATTATCATCATCATTATCATCATCATGGTCTTCATTTGATGAAGACGATGAAGATTCATTCTCATACCATTTATAAGGATCTACAATAATTCGATTTGTTTTATTTTGATTATCAATTAAATCGGTTAGAACTTTATTAAATAACGGTATAAAATATTGACAAATATTTTCAATGACTTGATATAGTTGTTTATGTTGAATAGGATGTAAATTATTGATATATGATTCAATTTTAACTTGACCATCTTTTGAAACATTGAATTCAGTTGGAATCCATTGATATGTATTTGACTGAGAATAACTCTTTTGTAATTTTTGTCGTTTATTCTGTGAATTTGATAATGAAGTATTTGCATTGATATCAATTGTTTCTCCAAGACCAATATATTTAAGAGCATCATCAAGATTAATAAGATGATTTCTCTCATTGATAACTCTTGTTGTTTGATTAACAAAACAAAATAACGATGGATGAACTAAATCTAATACTTGTTTATTAGTTCCTGGATGCCAATCTTGTTCATTTTCTGGTATATTCTCTAAAGATTGTACACAAGAAATTAATGATTGTTTAATATCTTGAGGAATTAATTCATCACTTTGCCAAACACCATCAACAGCAGACATTTCCATCGATTGATCTCGTATTGAATTATAATATTCTAATTCAGCAAGAACATAATCAATTTGTTTTTCAGAAAGTGATGATTGTTCTAAAGCTTCTTGTTTCCATTTATTTCTTATTATTTGATCTTGCATTTTTTCAAACCATTTAGATTTATTTCGAATAATTCCACTCAAATTCATCATTCGTAATTCAATTAAGGATTTTGGTATCTTTCCGTCACCATAATCTCCAGAATAGAAAGGATGTAGAAATGATGGTAAATCTGCATTTTGATTAGTGAAATCAATTTTTAAGATTTCTTCAGTTGGTTTATTCGATGAAGACATATTCTGAAAAGATGAAAAATAATATAATTTTTCTACATCATTCTTTCTGTGTGTTTTCAACTTTTGGTTAACAATAAATTTTTGAACGAAAAAGACAAATGATCAATCTATTATTCACTTATATAAATTCTTTGTTGTCTCAAAAAACCATATATTCATTCAAACATTCAACAAAACGTTCACACAGTTATGTTGACTTCGGTATACAAAACAGACATGTCGCCTAGTACATACTTTGTTAATTTATTCAAGTCAATCAACTATCATATATCAAGAAGATTGCTTGATAAAAATAATTTCAATAAGATTATAGTTCAAACCTCCCTGTAACGGCATCTTGACTAATGAATTGTTTCATGATCATAACTACTCGTTAAGAAAATATGAAAGAATGCCTTACACATTCATATATAAGTGAAACCGACGTTTGCTGTTATCTCGCTTAGTATAATTTTTTCTTATTTTCAATATTATCAACTGAAGATGAATCTAACCGTTTTCAAAAATAATTTCTTAAAAGGGCTTGTCATAGTCGAAACAAATTTTGGAAAATTATCATTATAAGTAGACTATTTCTATTATTTTAAAATAGAAAGAAAACATAATCCATGAAAACAGCTGATAGTTTTGATTTTATTGCTACATGAGTACGTGGAATACTTTTCCATTCGAATCTCATTGTGTATATTAAACGTCACCAAGCTGTAACACGTACCACCTCGAAAAAAATTCATTTATTTAAAAATTATATCTGAAATACATCAAAAATATCACCTCACTTCTTTTCTTCTTTCAAAACTAAAACTCAAATGATTATATATATTTTTTTACATTACTAAGCAAATTTGAGAAGATGTTTGCATATAATATCACATTCCGAACTAACTTCGTATATTTTCGATTAAAGAAGTGGAATTGAATCGAAACAAGCATAGATTTGTTATCTCAAGAAATTATCGAATGATTCATAAATAAAAAGTAGTCAATCCTCTTATCGGAATATAGATGACGTCATATGTTTGCATTATGATTAAGAGAAGATCATGAAGAATCAATTTCGAAAATAAAGACCAACTTTTCAGTAATTTCGTTAGTTATTAAACTAAAAGAAATATCCTTTTAAGAAGATGAATGAGATATGATACGTTGTATTCTATGAGAATTAAAGAACTTCGTTATTTTATTATGATTTTGTTTATCGAAGAGAGCAATCACAATTATGATGCTAACTTTAATTGCAGCTAATGCAGCAACTATGATTAATTTACCTTCACCTGTTGATATTTGTGCTAAACATTCTGTATTTATTTGATTTAAATCTGAATTTAGAAATAACCATAATGCAAGTATTTGAGTATCTCTTGGATCAAATCCTTTCTTCTTTTGTTTTGACTTTTCTGCAAATAAATAGATAGCTTGACTAACAACGATATATGCGGATCTAATATTTTATCTCGATTATCAATTAATAATGGTAAATCATTTAGAATTTTTTCTCCACTTTCTAAATAATCTTTAATTTAATTATTTACATTGTTTTTATCTTCTTTCATTAATTTAATTAATTCATAATGATTTCGTTTTAAAGATCTTCTTCTCAATCATTTATATTTTTGTTTTTAATTAGTTCTAATATATCATTATTCTATATTCATTCATTATTTGCAACAATCATTAATAAATTAATAATAGTTTGAGGCCTTTCTTAACTCTAAATATTGAATTATTTTAATGCGTTCACTTTCTAAAGTTTTTACATTTAATTTTAATTGTTCAATAATTCAGGACCTTGTTAAATAAGGTAATAAATTATAAAATGATTTTGAATTAATATTTTCTATTATTAGATAATCATTTTTCTCATGATATTTTTCATCATCAACAATTCTTTGTCCTCTCCAACAAGAATACATGTCATATCCACAAGGGAAAACCTATAACATTGTCTATCGATCTAGGCTATATTTTGGAAAAGTAAAGAGAAATAGTAGAAATAAACCTGATTACATAAACAGAACTCATTATTTGTGAAGAGAAAGAAAAAAGTAGAAATGATCCATGTAACTTTTCTTATATATCTTAAATCATTAATTTAAAGAACTAGTTGGATATACACATACATATAGTTCGTGTTATTGTTTATCTGTCTAACATCATCGACTACTGTTTGTTATGGCTTTACATCCTTTATTTCCTAATCTTTATTCATCAATTGATGGTTCTGGAGGTAAAGGTGGACATGTCAGACGACACATAGTGAGCAATGATCTTTTTTCTTTATTTTTCGATGGTAACGATCGATAACCGATAGCCAACGTATCATTCCGTCGGTCATTCATTACGATATTATGAAAACAGCTGACGGAAGGAATCTTTAAAAAAAACACGATTGACAGTCTATCAACATAGAATTTAGTGTAAAGATAGCCATTTGTCCACTCATTTAAAGTGTAAGTGATGAATAAGCTAAAAATAAAAAATTACTACTTGCTGTAAATGTCTTTTTCTAGCTTTTTATTTTACCGTTTTAGTTACTTGAAGTCAAACAAACGGAAACGAAAAATGAATTAATTGAAGCGCGTGAAAAATTTAAAAATGTATCGTATATGGACGATTCCAATGAATTGCTCCAAATATTCACAAACGTAACTGATATATCAATGTAGTTAGCTTTAATCGACGTTGAAATTAAACTACTAGAAAGTATGATAATCTCTTGTTTTAAAAACTAGTTTATTGTTCTTTATTTCTAGATATCCACGTTGTCGTAAACAACGGCCATTTACCATATTAAACTATAAGTAAAAGAACATTTTTTATTTTATTAGCAAAAGAAATTTTTGCAAAACATTTTTCGTTTTTAAGACATCAGCTTGTTTGAACCATAATAACGATCTTAACATATACAAGTTGATTTAGCTGAACATGCTTCCTATTTAGAAAAACATTGTCTATCATTTTCACAATAAGTATAACCTTGATAATCATTATTCATTGTATAATTAAATGAGAAACGATTAGAAAATCGATCAATATCACATATACACATAAGATCCTCATCATAAAAACATTTTAATTCGAAATTACTTCGACATATAAGTGCATAGTATTTAACTTATAGTAAATATACAGATTGTAAAAGTTTACTATTAAGAACGTCGCACAAAAAAAAATTTCTAATTTTTATTTTGCGATACTGAAACTTTAAAGTCAAAAAAATAAATATAGGCAAAATATGAATTATATTTCAAATAATTTACAAAACAAGAAATAGGTGAAAAAAACAAAAATAATACTTTGCAGAATCTTTTCAAATCCATTCACCGGTTCACAAATTCAATTTTTCGAAAATCATATCATATTCTATGAAATATCTATAAAAATTGTATCTTGAATTTGTGTTAATGTGAATGAATTCATAGTTAAATAAACTTTAATAAGTGTCACTCTTGCTATAAATAATCATCAACAGGAATATCCAAGGGGGAAACGGCGGATTCCCGAGATTCCGAATCCCTGTGAGTACGGTGGGAATCCCTGGAATCTTGGGAATACAATGGGAATCCAGGGAGTACAAAAAAATCCTGGGAGTACAATGAAAATCCAGGGAATCCAGGAAATACGTTAAGAATCTGAGGAAAACATTATGCAAATAAACCAAATTTAACGCAGATATCACTGTATCTTAAATATAATGAAATATACTTTTATTCAGCCCATGTTTTAAAACCTATTTCATCGAACACGATGTACTAAAAAGCTAAAATATTTACTAAATACTTTCGAAACTAAGATATGTCATAAGTTTACTAGCTAGTAATGATCTATTTTTATTTCCATCGTTTAAAAACCTACTATTAGTACTAATCTGTATCGGCTACATATATTATGTTCTGAATCTTCTATTTGGTAATGCCTTCATCGACACTAGTTTTTGATACATCCATCTTGCCAACAGATGCACTTTCTTTTTATGATGATAATTTTTATCAACTGGTTGAGAAAATAGCAGGACCAGGTGAAGCAAAATTATTAGAAGTTCAAGGTATTCGAAGTGTTTATTCTTTTTTCAACATCGAAGACGTATTCAACATTCTTTCTTTCACGTGTTCTGCTATAAAAGAGATAAAAAAATTAATTTGTCTTGAAGATGAAGATAAAAATTACATGGTGAAACCAGGTTGTCGTAGCAACATTCGATATTTGTATCAACTTCTTTACCAAAAACACGAAGAGCATTTGAAGGAAATTACACCAAAATCCAAACGAAATAAACAATCACAACTACATCGAAGCAATTCTACAACTATGAATCTCTCACAAGATTCATCGCAAAATACTTCAATATTATCTAACCATCAACAAAGTACAACAACACCCAGTAAGCTTTTATACCAATTTTTCGTTTAGTTCTACCGCTAGAGATTTGTAGTCAACTAAATAATCACAGTAGCAACTTTAGCAAATAAGATATTCTATATTATCTCAAAGGGTGTATGTTACACATAAGAAAGGAAATCCTACTTCGGTAATCAAAATATGAATTCTTTATTATATAATATTAAGCCCTTCTATCTTGACAACATCGTATAACATCATATAATGAATAAACAACAGCTACGTTTATCACTTTTTGATTCGACAGTAGTACTAGCGAAATAATAATGAGTGTATTTATATAAATTAAATATTTTTATTTAGATTTAATGAATATATTAAATCATCATGGTGTTCTGATTCATATGTTAAATGAATGGTTTGAAAGAAACTTTCGTACAATATATATTCTGAACGGAAATTTAATTGAAAATGAAGATTACAAGCTTTTAATTGCCTTCAATGGAACATCTGAAGAAGCATGCATAACATGCTTCTGTGGTGTTAAAGTACGTTTAACAAGAGTTCGTGAAAACTTCTCTTTAAGCAACTATTATAAACATCTTAAAACAAAAAGCTGTTTGATGATGAAGAAGAAAAAAATAACCAGTAGTCCTAACAATGATTCAAATATAATAGATGATGATGAATTGATTGATGATGAAACACCACCAACTATATCAAATATCAATCATATACAACCATCAGCTCCAACTATTACTTTTGATACAGTTGATAATGCTAATAAATCGTCGAAACGGTCGACTAACTCACCAAATAAAGGTTCATCAAAAAAACAACGTAAACAAACATAAATCTTTTATCATGTTCTATGTATATATATATATTTACTAGATGAACTTTTTTTATAAAAAATGTTATACTATTTTATTCTTTTCTACAATATTTAATATTTTGTTATTGTGAAAAAACTTTTTTATTTCAATAAAACGAAAATAAATAGGATGTTTATATAATAAAACAGTAAAAACAGTATTTGTAATTATGTCATTCATCGCTCATACGATTAAACATCGATCTCCAACGCATGATTTCAATCAGTTAATCTATTTGCGGTGTATTGAACTATTTTTATTACTATTAATGAATTAGTATGTATTGCAATACCTTATGACAATGTATAGATTACCGTTAAGGTGACAATTTATAGGTTTCTCAATTACGTAGTATAAGTGCATATGTTGTATATTGTTATTTTTTCTTTTCTCTACTGCTATACATGTCTTATATAACGATCATCGCGTTCTTAACGAACTTCCAACGGTAAAATGATCAGGAAAGAAAAAACGGGCTCATTCTATAAAATTCAAAAAATATATTTTAAATTCTTCTTTTTCTCTCTCTTTAAATTAGAGAAAATTCATTGTCTATATTTCTTTCGTCTCTTATTTTTTGTCTCTATATATACGGAAGGCATTCTTCATATTCATTATTTATCATTAAATCTATATTCGAATAAAGGTAGTTTTCATTAATTTTTCATAGAATTATAACTAATACATTGCTTCTTTTATTTATTTAGAAATACATAAAATGCTTCGAACATTTCCACGATTAGTATTACCTAATAATGTTCTCTCATTCGAAGGAGATAATTTTCTCCAACTAGTCAAACAAGCTTGTGGAGAAGTTTTTAAAGAATTGATGGAAGTACTTTCGATCAATTCAGTATATAAATTACTTTTGGTTGAAAAAGATATTCTTTCTGTTTTCCAGAAAAATTATAAAGAACTAGTAAATATATCACAACGAGCTTGTCTTCATTCCGATGATGGTGAAATAATGCTTAAGCCTGGTTTACGCTTAGATTTTAATCGTTTTATTGAAACTCTTCATGCTATAAACAATCAAAACCAGCAGCAGGAACGAACATCTAGTTCTAATGATGATATCTTGTCTTTGTTAAAACGATTAATAAAATCAAATCAAATAAATGAAGGCAGTGATGCACAAAATAGCTATTCATTTCTGATAGCTTTTTTTGAAAATATTCTTAATAATATTCCGAAGAATAAGAATAACTATCGATATAGCGAGAGTGTATTACATTTTGCACAAGCATTGTATATACTAGGTGGAAGAAACACATATGAATTCATTCGTTTGAATTTAATAGGTTCTATTCCTGCCTTGTCCACGTTACAAGATAGTCTTGCAAAAGCCGGTGCAAGCATTGAGGAAGGTACTTTCCGATACGATGCACTTAATCAGCATCGAACATCATTTAACTATCAGGTTGCTGTCTGTTCTGAAGACGCAACCGCGGTCATAAAGAAAATTACATATAATGCTAGTACTAATACCTTTCATGGATTGTCAACTCCATTGAGACACGGTATTCCTATTTCTCGTCACTTTCAAACTGACTCATTTGATGAATTACAAGGGTGGTTCGAGAATACGGATAGAGCAAACTATCTAAATCTTCACATGGTTCAGCCACTAATGGCGTCTAATCCGTATTCGTCGCCGTTTATCTTAGCGGCATATGGAATCAGCAACAAATTTTAAGCCGTCGATGTTCTTCATCGATGGATATGGAAATTCGAGAAGTCTCGAGAGTCTAGTGTTCGTATTGTTGCTTTCGCAACCGACTGTGACCCACGTTATTTGCTTGCGATGCGTCTTGCAACATCCTTTTTTGCCAAGTATAATAATTATTCCATGCACGATCATCTAAATGCACTTGAGATCGATTTACCTAAAGACTGGAGAACCTGGTTCTTTATGTCAACTCGACAAGTCTTTTTTTGTTTTCAAGATCCAATGCATTTGTGCACAAAAATTCGTAATCGTATTCTTTCTAACACAGCGTCAATGCTAATTGGAAAAGAAACAGTTTCTATAGAAGTACTAATGGAACTAGTTCAGAATACATCAAAACTTGCTCATGCACTCGTTAAAACAGACATTGATCCGAAAGATCGACAGAATGTTTCGTCTTGTCTCAAACTAGCTAGTGATGATGTATCTCTTGCTCTAGAGGACATTAATAATTCTCTAGCTACACGAATTTATTTGTTCCTCTTACGTTGTATCATATTAGCATATGTAGAGCACAATACATCGATCGTTGATCGTATCTATAATAGTTGGCTAGCAGTTTTTATATGTCGTATATGGCAGACATGGTTGCTAATAGCTGATAAAAAGGATATGATAGGAAATTATTCTGAATACAAAAAAGATAATTTGTTTATCACGGTTCCTACACATTTTTCAATTGAGCTTAATGCTCATACTTTACTTGCAATTTGTCTTCTTGTGCGCCAGCATGAGTTGCCTGATTCATCTCTTTTAATATCAAATTATCATTCACAGTCGTGTGAATCAACGTTCAGACTAACACGATCAATGTCAGGAGCTTTTTCGTCGGTAGTAAATTTTACTACTGATCAATTTCTTAAACGAGCTGGAAAGCTCTCTGTATTAACCGACTTGGAGAGCAAAAGTGAGTCGGGTCAATTGGACTGTCCATTGCAGTTTCCAAAGCATCATAAGCGACGACGAAAACGTCTTGCTCTGAAAAAAATAGCTTCTAGTGCATCTGGTGATGATCATCTTTCGAATGCTAATATTAAAAATATCATATCTCGTGCTTTCGATGATGCTTATAATCTTCTCGCCAAACTTGGTGTGAACATTGTTCTTGAAAAAAAAAAGATGAATAGCATCGGTGGTGTGAGCTCGTTTGTACGTACTCAATTTGAAAACAAATTCAAAAAAATCTCATACGATGATTCTCAAACATACTCATCAGATGAAGAATCTAGTGAGTACTTAAAATCTAATGTTGATCTTTCACCAAGATCCGATGATGACTGTTCGTCTGAAGATGATGATGATATACCGTCGCTTTCAGCAAATGGTAAACAACAATTTCATGGGATGAGAATCTTTGATAATGTTCCTCCTTCCGTATCTAACTCATACTTCAAAGTTGATATTGATGGCAAAAAACAATTTATCCACAAACAAACAGCTTGCTGGCTTCTAGCAGATGGCAAAGCTAATTTGTCAGCTGATCGGCTTAAACGAGTTCAACAATCAAGTCGTTAGATATATATATATATTAGGTTATATAGAAAATTCTATAGTTTTGTTAGACATGATATGTTCTTGCTATTTCGTGTTCTTTCAATAGTTATTTTTGTTTGTTATTTCATGTTTTTTCGATAGACATTTTGGTTGTTATTTCATGTTCTTTCGATAGTTACTTTTGTTGGTTATTTCGTGTTCTTTCGGTAGATATTTTTGTTTGTTGTATTGTATTCTTTTCTTTTCTCATTAAAACTACGAAAAATTAGATTTCTGTATTGTCCCAATTGACTTGACATCCATCTTACTAGGTGACGTGTCCAGACATCTGACGAGGATAGAAATTTTTCTATTGTCTACTCTGGAATTGCTTACTATTCAATATGATAAAGATTCTCTGACTATTATTAGTCATCTGACATAGTTTAAAGTGTTTAACAAGAAAATGGAAATCCCTGGAGTACAGCGGAATCCAGGGAATCCGGTTGAAATCTCAGGAGTACGATGAAAATCTTGAAAATCCTGAGAATCTCAGGAGTACAACAAGAATCCCGAAAATACGAGTAAAATCCCAAGAATCCCAAAAATCCCGGGAATACGGAATCCGCCGTTTCCCCCTTGGGAATATCAATCATTTGTCTATTGACAAGAAATAATTCTTTTTTTTAAATATTACGAATGTGTGGATAAATATATGTATTCATGTTGACAAAGATATTTATATTAATCTTACACAATTTTTACAATCAAAACAAAGCATGTTCTTTTCTCTTTGATAACTTGACAATATTTCGATCAACTGATATTTAATAACTGTTAAATTCTCATTGAAGACATAAATCAATGAATACATTTCTATAAATCAAATATAGTTTATTGTTTATTTTATAAAAATAATTTGCTTGTTTATATAGGTATATTTGAATCAGTTTAAGAATCCTTGTTTGCTTGACTAGTTGGCAATTGTTGGACTTGTGCACCTGAAACAACTGATTCAGGTCCCCAATGAACTACACCGGGAAAATTGTTTGGATCGACATGAGGTAAATTGGCTCCTAATTGAGAACTACCACTTATGTTTGGGTTTGCAAGACCAGCAGCTGCTGGTGGAACATTTCCTTGGCCAGGAACTTAATATAAAACATACGTTTTTTTTGTATTATTTTGAAAATCAAAAACAAATCTACGAAATCTTACTTGTATCATGTCCACCAGGAAAACCACTGAAGACAGCGCTATTGGGATTAATATTGTTATTTTCCATGAAAATTGTTTATGAATAATGATATATTTTTGAAGGTAAAAACAAACGAATGCAACAAATTTTATTCGATTGCTTATATAACATATCTTTTCTCTTCGGTTATGCTTCATTTCTTTATATATCAATAACAATAAATATATTATATGAAGAAGAGCACGTGAAGCTTTTTGCGTATTTTGTAATAATTATATCCTTGAATAGATACAGAATTTATTTTTCGAAGCGATAGTAATGATATAAATTGAAAGAAACATTTTATTAAGTGAAGAACAATAGAAATCAAATGATAAACTAAGTTTATAAATAAAAGCAATTTGATATGGGTATGCTGAACATTTGTTTCTAGATGGTGTGAATACGTGTTTGATAATTACTTATACCCACACCCTCAAGATAGTTTTCTTGTTTTAACTATTGTATGATAGAAATCAAATATATATTTATCTTTTTATTTATTTGGAATTTTGTTTAAAACATATTAAAAATATGAATAACGTGCTAATAAAACTAATTCGAAGATTAATGAAGAATAAAATGAAATCTATCTCTAGCATAGATAAATGACAAAGCAATGATTAATTGAACTTTGATTAAGAAATATCGATCTGTTCAATTGTCATCATTGAAATCAAATCCTAAAGAAAAAAAAATAATTTTTAAATAGAATTAAAATTTCGATAGTCTATTTTAAATATAATACATATTCTTACTTTCATCTTCAAAATCTTGAATGATACTATTACTATAATCATCGTCATTACTCATTTGTCGATAATCAGTTGAATCATCTTGATCCCAATGATCTTGACCAAAATCATCAGTTTCCATTTTTCGAACAGTCCATACATCAAAACAATAATCGGAATTTGCTATGTAATCATATGGAATATAACAATAACCTTTATCACCCTGATAAAATAATATTAAAAATTTAAAGATAAATCAATCAAAATTCTCTTACCCAATTTTCTCCCCAAGAATTTCGAACAATAAATGATTGTGATTGATCACTGTAACCGACTGCTAACAGAGCATGACTAAAGAAAACAAATATTTCAATTATTCAATATATCATTAACTGAAAAACTGACCTTCCATCGGATTCTCGATTACGATCAGAATCACTTGGCATTGGTACAACACCAGTATTAGTAGCTTTATCAAATGATGTATAGAGTTTTAAACCAAATGCAAATGGAAAACCTTGTGCTAAACATGATTTCATTTCATTTAAATCGATATTAACTTGTAATGCTTGAGTTATTTTGTGAGGCTCTGCTGCTTGATAAGCTTCATCAGATGGACGTTCATTTACGTTTGAAATATCATAAGGCCAAATTGATTCTAGGCAAACACCTGATTGTTCTAATGCTTCAATGGCACATGTCATTGTACATCCTGAATCAGTTATAGTAGAATCATTATCTTCTTTAACACGACCATTGTAATAAATAAATAAACGGCTGACATCAACATTTTTTCCACTTTGTTTCTTTGTTAAATATTCATAAGCACCTAAAAATAATTATTCTTATCTATATATGAATTAAGATAAGAAATATTTCTTTTACCAGCAAGACAATTTGCCGAACTAAATGAAAAAAATGGATTTCTTGTTAAATAAAATTCTTTGCAAAGAAAAAATAATTGGATCTTACCAACTGCCAATCTGAGACTGATCCTCAACTGGAGTCATGGAATCACGTAGATCTGCTTTTGGTGGTAATTGATCAGAACTGTACATAACATGCTTACTGAACAGTTGACGTAAATGATGTTTCTGTGGCAAACGTATCGAGGGAAAAATGCCATTTAAACGAAATTTTCGATTTTGATCTTGATTGATTAAAAATCTTTTTACCGCCATTAGTTTTTTTTTTGTATTGGAATAAAATCTTAGTTCTCCTTCTAACACTAAACAAATTCTCCTCGATTGTGTGCTCTAAAAAAAACAATGTGGGGTATGTTATTTTTTTTCTTTTTTTCTCTGTTTTTTTTATATTATCAGCTTCGGGGTATGTCAAGGGATTGTTCCACTACGTATTTCGCTTCTTTTTTCTTTTCTCCTTGTTTTTCATCTATCATCAGTTTTTTTTCTATTACTCTAACAAGACGAAGAAGAAAAATAATATCAAAAATACGTCATGCCATCGTCTATTTCATCGTACGTGACCGAATAAATATGAAGAGTCCTCGACAGAGTATAAAATTAATTCAATGAATAACATAGATATTATATAAACCAATAGAGTATGATTGTTGCTACCTAGAAAATATTTTTTAACAATTTTAAGAATGACGATATGAGTATTACATTCTTACGATTTTTTTATAATAATATAAACAGTCAGAAATAAAGATTTATTTCAGTTCTGCAGTTTAAGTTTTAAAGCGATATGCAATATTGAACGACTCACTTTGTTAGATTCATACGTAGAGACTTAGAGAAATGTTATTTATTATCTTGAAATAACTTCTCACATATTATGATGAAATACTAAATGGTTAGATTGAATCTTGACTCGTATTAAGGTTAATTTCTTTTTTATAATAAAATGTTACATCGCAGAAGAATTGCAATGATATCAATCATATTTTGATAGGAGTAAATGAAAATAAAGATGCTTCTATATTTGTATGTCCTTGCACTCGCATTACCGCCCTCAATGCAAAAAATGTTCAACAATCTAAAACAGATTCTTATACACTCTTGTTATTTCAATTTATTTATTGATATAAGCAATACGAAGTGAAGCATGATTTCTTGAATAATAATTTTCTGGTTAAATAAAAACTTCATATCATTGGAATGAAATTCTCGGATCTCTTGTTATTAATTCGCGTTGGATTGATTTACTGATTTGATTATTGACAAGGTATAAATTGATCAACGTCTTCAATATAATTAAAAATAAAAATGCGAAACTCGAAAACCAATCTTGTACTTTATTATCTTGTAGAATTCCAAATAATTGTCGAGCTGCTTCGTCACCAATTTGATTTCGAGAAAGATTCAATACAATGAGTGTCTATGTGTAAAATTTAGTATGTTATGACGAATATTAATCGAATTCTTGAAAGGTGCATCCGCGACATTTGCTCCCCAATAGCATTTGTTCTCCTGTGATATTTGCTCGCCAATATCAACTGTCGATCGGCAAGATGATCATTAATAATATGAAGAGAATAAAACTACCCTATTCTGTTTTCTTTTGTGCTTTCTTTTAGTTACTTATTTAATATCATATGCTGACGATATAAATAATTAATGGCTCCAAATAAAAAATAAATCATTACATTAAGCTTAATATGTTGACTATGTTCGGGGTTTTAATCAGTTAATCTCTTCTTGTTATTATGTTTTGTTGTCTTCCGTTATTGCTGTGTTCAATAAATTAATTTAATTTATAAATTGTTCCTATAACTTGTAGAAAGTCTGTTTGATACTATGGAGGAACAAATGTCGTTGGGGTGCAAGTGTCGCGTGTATAGACTAATTTATTCCTTATAATCACCCCCAAATCTCAAAATATCCTAGATAATATCAAGCATATATTAATGAGTTGTTTCTATCATAATAGCTTAGATACTGTTTTAGTCTATTCTGGGAAAAAGTATATTCTCCTTTCTTAAAGTTAACTTAAGCGAGTTAACTTATATTACATTAATAATAAAATGAAAATAAATTTAGAAAAAATACATTATAACAAAAGGAAGGAAGTAATATTTTTTTTTATAGCATCAGTAAATATATACAATAAATGCTGCGTAAAACAGTCCAGAGTACAAGTTTTTTTAAAATACACCATTAGGAACCTATTATTATAACATGAGATTACTTTTTGTATGATTATAACTGATTTCAGGCGTTAACGCAGAGAGTTTTATTGTTTTCTACGTATTTGATGTATATTAGATGTAACTTTTATTGCAATATATTACTGAACATAACAACAACTAATATTTATTTTCTAAATTTAACTACTGTACACACAATAATAAAGATCATAACTTCGTTATTCACTTCATAAAAGCAATATCAATAGAGTCTCTGTTTGTTTTTGTTCATGTAAGTTGGATATCATCGATTGTTTCAATATTTGGTACAACTTGATTAGTATTTCGTTTGTTCATCCATTGTTGGCATTGCTTTATACAAACACTTGAAATTATGAAAATGAATTGTTGTCGAAATCGTTTTGAAACACAAAAATAAATTTAGAAAGGACCCTATATTATTTCAAAAATAAACATGATTTCTGTTTTTTCACAAGTAAAAATACTTACAGCAAAACTTAAATAAAAGATTAAAAGCAAGATGGCATAGATAAGAGTATTACGTGCTATTTGTTCAGGTGAATAAATAAAATAAATAATATAAGGTAATGTAGTAATTACAACAAATACAACATGAACTAGCGTCATTACTGTCAATTGTCGATCTCGACTTAAACGTATAATATTTATTTGTCGACTAATTAATGTACGAGCATTATAAAAAGCTAATACAGAAAATGTAGTCATTGTAGTTAGAGGTAGAACTCCATAAAGTATTGGATATTGAAAACGAGTTACAAACATTCCAAAATTTGAATTAATGACCGCACATATGCCTAAAGATGCATCGTAATAAATGAGAAAACAAATACCATATAAACTCCAAAAAATTCCAGTAATAAATATACAACGTTGAGCTAATCTTAAATTACTGAAACGTCTATAGTGACTCATAGATAAGAATTGATCAATCGTTGCTAAGCATACATATGTCATTGATACCATACGACAACATACAGCCATATATATTTGTATTTTACAAACCCACGATGTTCTTCTAATATCAGTAGAAAAACCTTCACTTAGAACACGTACAAACAATACTATTAGCAATTGAATGATATTAACCACTGAAACAGCTGTCAGATAAAATGCACAAGTTGTTTCTCGAAACGTTTTCAGCGTTGTAAAAATTATAATATTAAATATTCCACCGGTAACACCTAAGATCGTCATTGCCAAACCAAAATAGATATGAACTTGTCTTGTTGCGAAAATCAATATATCTTGAGTTGACATTATTCTGACTAGTTGTGAGATAAAATTTTATTTCTCTAACTGTTAACTGATATAGATGTGAAACAACAAAAACAATTATTTTATATGAATATACGTTTTTTTAAGTAAATATAAACGCTTTGTTACACTTTAATGATTTATCATTAATGAGCTTATGCGTGTAAGATAATCGACTTTATGAAAAAAAACATAAAGAGATTGCTAACATAAAATTACAAATTCTTTTATGTTTTATATTGCCATCTAATTTCATTTTCTTCCTTTTTATTATCATAATTCTGAATCAACTACTGAAAATCATTAATTAGCTTAAAGAAAAAACATGAAAAAATTTAATTAGTTAGTAGAACATAGTTTATTATTAAAGTATTCCTTACATCAAAAAGATTTACTAGAATAAACAGGTCATTTTTGTAATGTCAAAAAAATTGTGCATTATTGCGTGAATGTATATGATGTTTAGAGATAACACCTACGCCCATCCTCAGGATGATTAATGCACATAAAACAGGATGACAATTCTTATGCAAGTTCCATATCTGTACCAAATGTTTCTGCATTTTCTGGATTAATTTGGTTATTATTTAGGTGACACAAGTATTTCAATCGTTGCCAATATTTTTTAACCAAAAGAAATTTCACTTGACGACGAAAACGTGATGATAATATTAGAAAAATATAGAAACTTGCCTATTAAAAATAAATATACTGTAAATGTCAATTAAATTTAAAAAAAATGATTTTACCGAAAAATGTATATTGATTAAAGAGAGACAGACTGCTTGAATTAATCGTGTAATCGCATATTGCATAGACTGATTTTGTGAAACGGGAAACTTAGTGATGTAAATACGATATATAATGTATGGTGATATGAAACAAGCGGCAATGACAGCACGCATTAGAACCATTGCTGTCAACTGTTGATCTAATCGACGACGAACAATTGGGATTTGTCGACGAACTATACGACGAACATTATGAAAAGCTAATAAACTAAATAATAATACAATTGCAATGGGTAAAAGGCCAATTAAAACTGGATAGAAAAAGGAGGATATGTACTGTTGCCATATTGGATTTGATACAACACATCCAAGTGATCCTTGAATATCGAAAAGACAACCAGAAAGAATACTATGAGCTATCCAAATACAAATAGATATGAAGGTAACATATCGAGCTAGTTTTATTGTACACATTTGTCTCAAACGAAATTGATGATTTGTTGAAAAGAACTGATCAATAGCAGTAAGACAAATTGTGTAATATGAGGTGAGTGAAAGTGTTTGTGCTAACATGTATCTAAATTTACACCAGCCGAGAGATCTTCCTGTTGCATCATCACCATACTTTGATGTTAGAATTGTTAAGCTCAAGAAGTAAAATTGATAAATAAAGTTGTTAATTGATTCAACGATTATGTAAAAAGCACATCGGTTATCTCGAAAGAGTTTTAGTTGAGTAAAAACAAGAATATTGAGAATATTACCAATAAATCCGAAAGTAGATAAAATACAACCGGTATAGAATGAATATTGTGTGGCGAATTTCAGAATATCTGTAGACATTGATGATGTCAAGTTTAAAATAATTAATGTGATGCGAAGCAGAGCATTTATGTAGTTCTTCGCGAGTTTCTTTCTTTATTTTTTCCTTTTTTTTACTTTCTCGAGATATACATTCAAAGTGGTAATTTTATACCGCACTGATCTCAGCAATGGAACATCGGAAAATATTTGTTTAAACGCGAGATTAAAATACCAAGATCGAACTGATATCATTCGTTTTCCTATTACCAACAGGATGTTCGAGATAATTAAAACGATCGATGATATAAATTTGACTTGATTCTACTCTAAACGTGAATATCGAGAATTTTATGAAACTCTTAAAATTATTAATTTGAAATCGAGCTTCGCATCACATTTTGCAGACGTATCTCGACTCATGGGCTATCTAGTTATTATCATAATTCTGTATCAACTACTGACAATCATTAATTAACTTGAAGAAAAAACATGAAAAAAGTTAATTAGTTAGTAGAACATAGTTTATTATTAGAGTAATCTTTACATCAAAAAGATTTACTAAAATAGACAGGTCAATTTTTAGAATGTCAAAAAGTCATACATTATTGCCTGTAGGTACGTTCGTGCGTGAATGTATATGATGTATTATTCATAATTCTAATTATAAAAATAAAGATAATTCAATTGCAGAGAAAATTTATCTTATTGCATCTGTATAATCATGATATCCTTGTGTATCTTTTATGATGTTCTATATTTTTTAATGGAAAACAATCTGTTATAAATGTATATAATGTACGGTATAGATCATCTGATCATTTTTTTACGTTTTTCTTCTCATATACCTCCATCTGTATCAAGCAATCGTGGTTTAGATATTAAATTTAATTGATCATCTATTAATAAAAGCTATTAGTGATCAAGAAAAACGATAATATCTAAATATCACAAGTTGAATTTAAAGTACTTTGCTTTTATTGAAAGGTTGAAAACTCTATTCTATTACAAGCAAAACTATTATAACTATAGGGAAACATATCGATAAAAATCAATCTACTCTTCTCCTATTATATCAACATTTCAATTACCGATTCATGTATAATGATCTCTCAATAAATCTTATTTTATATGTTATACAACCATCAAACTATGGATTTTTCTATTGATCTTTTCTTTGAAAAGTGTGACGTAATACATATAATCAATTCAATACTAATGTTTTTACTCATAATTCTTTTATCCTTGAACTAAAAAATCGACTTTATATAAGAGATCAATTTATTTTGTGTTTCATATGAATGTAACAGAACATTTTTCTATCATTTACTGATTGATACAAAATCTTTCTTTTCTAAACCGAAAAGAAAACGTTATTTCATTCAAAAATGACAATGATCTAATATTTGCGTCATATTTCCTGCCTATATATGAACAGAAAATGTAGGGAACCATAAAATAAAAATCAGCTGTATCTCAAGGAAAAGCCAAGTAGATTTGATGTGTAGCAAAAAAATGAAATTTTTTTCCATTGTAAGCCAATGAATATGAATATTACTGAAGTTGAACATTGTACTTCTTCGTCAACTGTTTAAATATTTCCAAACTAATATTTTCATCTTTTTCCAGTATTTTGACTGTTTCTTTAATAAGATCCTTTTCTTGTTGCCGTTCTTGTTATTCATCCCAAAAAAAAAATTCAGACATCACAAATTCTTAGTTACTGAATAATAGTAGTAATAGGAAAAAATTTCTTACGACAATCCTTTCTGCCATTATCAAACGCTCAGGTATTAAATATTTGCATAAATGTAAATGCACCTCAGTATATATATAACGATATTAGAATCTTCTTCTTTGTCGTTTTCCACCAACAATAAATTAATAATTTTTTTCAAACTATTATCTTCAATTTGTGTAGTAGCTACCCATGTTAACCATTCCGGCTGCCAGAAACGGCGTCTTAACCGGCCTGAAGCGACTATAACACGGCGTTTCAGTGCCTTATTTTTAGTCGTATTTCACCGTAATCTGTAAACTCGGAATACGGGCTGTTTTTTCACTAGACACCGGCCATCGTTTCCCCCCTTATTTCTATACATTTCTGGATCGACGGATTATGGTGACATTTTGAAACCGTTTTCCGCCGCATTTTACCGGTTTTCTAACGTTTACGGCGCCGTTGTCTTTTTCCTGAGTAAATGTAATGCATTTAAATAGGATGAACAACATATCGTGTATTACTAGCCTTCTGTATCATAGTCGAAAAATAACTCCGCTATTCTTGTTTCAGAAAAATATGGTAACACCTTTTTAATGATTGATTCTGGAGAAAAAAGAAACATTACTTTGATTCAGTTTTATTCTATACATACTGCAATTATCTGAACTAATGTTCCCATGGGAATTCTTGCATTACTGACATTTTTGTTCATCAAAATTTACTTTATTTTGATTTGTGAAATAATCCATTTGAAACGAAAATCAACAGATTAAGACGAAACAAAGAGTATGAATAAAGATGAAAAACTTCGTATTTGTATTTCAAAACTTCGACTAAAATGCATTCTATTTAGTAAAAAGGAAAGTATATATAGAAAAATGTGTATTTTCTAAAACTATTTTAACGCGTAGGATTATCAATAGAAATATACTGTTAATGGACTTTTATTGCTATCAGTATGCCCAGAATGTGTTCATATGAAACTCTTGTATGTACGTCATTCATAAAATCAAAGAATATCTTGAAGCGTAGCCCAATAGCTAAAATATAAAAACATGTCAGAATTTAATTAATATGTGTGCCAATGAAACACTAATCAAATTCATCTGCAAATTAAACTTTTGATTGAAATGCTGTAGAAATAGAATCTCTTGATCTGTCATGCTGCATATACAAATGCTTTAATTGCATGTTGTCTGCGTCATCCAACTGCTCATAATATTTATGTTAGCGTGTGAAAATCAGAGGTCGAAAAGACATAAACAAGAGAGATCGCTTTTTAGTTTAATATTATTGAAAGTTATTCCAGTGCATTATCGTGTGTTCGAGGCGCTCTTCATTCGCAAAAGCAAATGTCATCGGCTGTGTTCAAACGTCATGTCTTATTTCGATGAAACAACGCTGCGTATGACAAAGTATGAACAATTTCAAAAAACAAGAAAAATTCTAAGTTAACTAGTTTACAATGCAATCAACAATGATATATTATCGAGCAAATATAATTGTATAAGATACTGACAATCATAGAAAGTACAGCGATCAAAATATAGAAAAGCGTGCGTTGATTATCTAACAAACTAGAATATATCCCATAAATTGAAAACTTCCGTGTTTTTATCATGCGTTTTTTTTAATAATTATTTTGTTCAATTTATCACGCAACGCTTTAAGGCAGAAAATAAATACTCTCATTTTTTTCTCCATAAAAAATAATATATTCATCATTTAGATCGATCAATTATATTAGAAGATCTAATCGTCTTTAGGAGTCGATGTGAATAAGAATGTAGATGAGTAACAAGTACCCACACCCTTTATCCTATGAACTTATTTTCGGATCTTGCTGAACAATATCAAAAAGTAAAAAGGACGAAGTGTTTCATCAATTTCTTCCCAAAGATGTTAAGTGCCATGTTCGTTGATATTTTAACAAAGAAACAAGAGAAAGTGACAATATAATAACATCTTATTTTCTTCTTGCAATTCTAATTACATGTCTATTTGACGTTAGGAACTTTTATTTATTCTATCCAAAGTAGAAAAATATACTTATTAGAAGAGCGTCAAATAAATACCAAAAATAGCTGAATTTGTTTACAGATACCTTTAAAAGTATTTGACTTTGTACTCGCCTATATTTATCCTTCAGTAATTTATTTTCTTGTTTTTCTTTGTTTTTTTTTACAATTCCCCCTTTCTTTATATTTTTAAATGTTATTAAAAATTTGAAAATCTTTTTTAATTTAACTTTTAACCATCCACTTCATACTTGACAACGACGAAAAATTCTATAAATAAATAAATTAAGTAAGGATTGGTTTATTATGAAGCAATACAACTGACATACATAACATAGTTTTAGGTGGCGCTACTAGCACAGTATTTCACCTTGACAAAACAATACATGACTCATATATACTTTAGTTTCGTTCTTTTATCCGCCTAATACCTGAATTTCTTTTCTTTTCTTCACTCAATACATATGTATGACTACCAAAAATAAGAAAAAATCTATTATTGTTTTTTTAGCATCATTAATCATTGATAAAATAAATTTTATTTTTATAAAATATCATAGCAAGATACTGTAGTCACGATGACTAGGCAGTTTTTTTCAAGCATTATATAATTGCACAATATTCTATGTTGTTTTTTACAGATTAATTTTATTTATTAAAAATGGGTTTACTAACTGAAGGACATCCATTAAGTTGGGAGGAAACAAAAAAATATGCGCAGTTTATACGTGAACATGGTATCGAACAGTTTATACATACTTATAATAAACTTAAAGATCGTCGAAATGATTGTCTTAAATGGGGTGATGAAGTAATAAAAAACAAAAATTATTATTTTAAAAATCGTACAATCTTATTTCATTCTAGGTTGAATATATTATGGTTCGTTTTGATCATGAAAATAAAAAAGTTCAACTTGTTCTTAAAGCTCATGACATTTTACCTACTCTGATGGAGCCTGAACATACGAATCCTGAGTAATTACATTTTTAACTAGTATATAAAAATAAATACAAACAAATTTTGTTTATTTAGTGATTGTTCTTCATTATGGCGACCAGAGTATGCAGTAAGTAAAATATTAAAATAGTAGTAACTCTATTCTATTTTCTTTCATAGGATTATATGATTGAAGGTACACCAGGCCAACCCTACGGGCATTTACCTGTACACTTTAATATGGTTGAAGCAAATATGCGTTTACGGTATGTTTTTATCTTCTGTCAATAAAGTCAAGATAAAGAACATAAATACTATTTTTAGCCGACAACAAGGTCAAGAATTACTTGGTAAAGATGAATATGTTCTGAGCACTTCAAATTTTCCGAGGTAAAAATTTATTTGAAAATATTATTTTTTTTAGTTTTTTTTAATTTTTTAAGAAATGGATGTATTGATTTTACTTATCCTACTCATAAAACAACACCAAGTACATCAGCATCTGCTTCACTATTCTTTCCTGATGAAGTTATCTATCCAGAACATCCACGTTTTAAGTAATATTAATTCATTTATCATTTATTTTTAACTAATCTATTTTATTTTAGAACATTAACAAGAAATATTCGTATGCGACGTCAATCGAAAGTTGCTATTCATGTTCCTCGTATGTATAAGATAATTATATTTCATATTATTTTTTATTATTATTCTAGTTTTTATTGATGAAAAAACTCCTCGACCATTCGTTGAAGATTTATCAATATATGGCGATGCTGGTGATGCTTATAAGTCAGAGGCTGTTGAAGATAGTATTTATCTCGATGCAATGGGATTAGGTATGGGTTGTTGCTGTTTACAAGTTACTTTTCAAGCACAATCAATTGATGAAGCACGATTTCTATATGATCAATTGACTCCATTAACACCCATTGTGGTATATAGAGAAATTTTATTTTAATTAATTGTTTTTTCAATGGTTTTTATTTTTTTTAGTTAGCATTAACTGCTGCATCGCCCATATGGCGTGGATATTTAGCTGATGTTGATTGTCGATGGAATGTTTTATGCGCTATGGTAGATGATCGAACTCCTGAAGAACGAGGATTAGAAGTAAATAGAGAAAATTTTGTTTGCTGAAATAAATCTCAATAATTTTAGCCATTAAAAAATGAACGATTTCATATACCTAAATCTCGTTATTCAAGTGTTGATTGTTATATTTCGCCAGATAGTGCCATGTATAATGATACTGAAGTTATTCAAGATGCAGATTGTTTTCATAAACTCACTGAAAATGGTAAAATAATTTGAAAAAAAAAATAATCATTTCTTTAAATTCGATTCTTTTGTTTTCAGGTATTGATCCTATGTTAGCTCAACATGTCGCTCATTTATTTATTCGGGATACAGTTTCTTTATTTAAAGAAAAAATTCATTTAGATGATACACAAGATACAGATCATTTTGAGGTAAATCATCTTCTTCTTCAAGAAAGCAATTATATATTTTTTTGTTCTTCTTCTAAACTTAGAACATTAATTCAACTAATTGGCAATCAATGCGATTTAAACCACCACCAGTTAATAGTAATATCGGTTGGCGTGTAGAATTTCGACCATCAGAAGTAAAAAAACTAATACCTAATTCAGTAGTATCAATTAATATTTTTCTATCATATAGTTACAAATGACTGATTTTGAAAATGCTGCATTAGTTACATTCATTGTGTTATTAACTCGAGCAATTATGACATATAATTTAAATTTACTTATTCCTATTTCAAATGTAAGAAATTTCAGAAAAAAAAAAGAATGAACTAATCAATAATTTATTGTTAATTAGGTTGATGAAAATATGCAATCAGCACAAAAGCGTGATGCAGTTCGGCATGAAAAATTTCATTTTCGAAAATGTCTTTCGACTAGTAAATAATCATTGTATAAATTGAAAAACCCATGATTTTTTTTTCAAATTTTAGTGAAAACACCTGAAACACCATGTATGGCATCAGTTCAAAAATCATTCTTTCAAGACAATGAATGTGAACATCGTCTCATGACAATCAATGAGATTATTAATGGATCTGTAAATAGATCTTTATTTTCATACTTATATATATATAAATTCATATGATATTCTAGAATGAATTTGTTGGTCTTTTAAGAATTATTCAAGATTATTTATCTAATCTTGAAGTTGATGCTGATACACGATGTACTATTAATCAATACTTGAATTTAATTAGTAAACGTGCAGCTGGTATGATAAATAAAAACAATATTCTTTACTTTTTTTTAAACGTATAAATATTTATTCTTAGGTACATTAATGACAAATGCAGCTTGGATGAGAAATATTGTTACACGTCATCCAGCATATAAACATGATTCAGTTGTTAGTGATGAAATAGCATATGATTTATTATGGAAAATGACAAAAATCTCAACCGGTGAAGAAGAATGTCCAACAGTATTACCTCGTATGTCATCAAAAACAACGCTTGATATCTCAGCTGCACTCGAAAAAGAAAATAATCAATTGGAAGTAAAACGATCTTTAATAAATCAACAAAATCAACAAGAATAATCCGGTTTTATCAACATTTCTTTCTTATTTATACAAGAATGAAGTCTTTCATAAAGAACTCCTTAATATATATTTACATACACATTTTTAGTTCTCATTTTATGTCATTCATAAGTATCCGTTCTTATTGTTATCTATTATTCATTTTTAGTTTATTTTTATTCTTCTTGTTCGATATTTGTTATCTGCTGTCACAATTTAGATAGAAAAAGAAAAGCACGTA